AGGACACCCTTAAGTATTTCTGGAAGTTCCAAAGAGGGGGTTTCCCTGGTGGTGCAAGGGTTAAAGATGCAACCTGTGGGGCAATCAGCAGCCACTGCAGCAGATTCCTGATTCCCAGCCTGCTAGGGAACAGCCCACAAGGCACAGCAGACCTCTCCTGGCTTGTTCTGCTGCTCCCCTCAGCAGTGTACCTCAATCTGCCTGTTTGTTCCCCACTCTGTCACTGGTGAATCCTCTCACCACCCCCACCTCTGGCCTGTACCCCAGCTCTTGTATGCATAAATAAATAAATCTTAAAAAAGTTCCAAAGAGGGTCCCACATGTATTCATAAACAAGCCATTTTTCCAAGGACTGCTCTCCTCTATGCCATCTCACAGGGCACAAAACTAAGATCTGAGGTGTCTCTGAAACTGTAGCTGTGGCTGCAGATGTGGGCAGAATCCTTTCCTCTACCTCTGTGGTTATGTCATTATAATTGTCACCAAACATGTTCCATATGCTCCATCCTTTTACAACATCTCAGCAAAGCAGCTCTCTTGAATAATGTTTGCACTTCTTTTTTAATAGGACCCAAACATGAATTCATGAATGTGGCTCCAGAACATACCAGAGTGACAGGTACTATAATACTCCCAATCACTACTGCCCACCAACAACTAAGCCTTATTACTTTGTCAGCTCTCTAAGTCTGCTCCTTCTGGATTTGGAATGAATTGTGTCTCTCCCAGAAGGCTTCTCTGTCATTAAGAGACTTCTGTTTAGCCTGGTCTGTCAGGGGCAGTACCTGGACACATTTCAATTCCAAGTAGACACACAGTTTGACACCAACCCCAGAGTCCTACCTTTAAATTTATGAAGTACATCAGGTGTTTATTTTTATTTACTTCCATAAACTGTAAGATAATTTATATTTCTAACTTGAAAAAACAAACACAAAACTCAACTTGCTTTTGTACTGTATATCATTTAATAAAAAATAACCATGATTAATTTTAGTGGGCTTCAATATCATTTCATTTGTTATAAAGCATTATGTAAGATTTCGTGGGTCATTGGCCCCCAATAAAATTTTTTGCTTATTCTGGGACATATATTATTAATAATAGTTAAATTTACAGACTAGTATAAAATGTATATGGAAATGCAGAAAGCTAAGTATAGCTATAATAGGAAAATAATGCACTAGAGGAATGATACTTCTAAATATGTAGAGCTACTGAAATCTATAGTAACTAAGAGTAATCTATAGTAAGTAAGGGATTAGTGCAAGAATAGAAAAACAGGCTAGAGGAACAGAGTGTGGAGTCTAGAAACAGACCCAAATATATATAGTTAACTGATTTATAATAAAAGTGACATTGCACTGAATAAGGGCAGAGTATGGTGTGTATCAATGAAAGGTACTAGGCCACTAGATCTCCATCTCTATCTTCACTTTGCCTCACATCAAAGACAGGTGTAACAAATATCTAAATATCGACTATCTAAAACAATGTTTGCAGAAAAAACATAGGACAATTTTAGAAGACAACATCTATATTATCTCAGAGAGGCAATGATTTCTTAAACTACATACCCCTCCCCAAAGTCAACAATTAAGCAGAAAAATGATCCATTGAACTACATTAACTTAAGAATTCTGGTCATCAGAACACTACTTAAGAATGCAAAAGCAGCCCACAGAACTGAATAAGATGTTATTTAATCTTATAGAGTAAGATACAATATGTACTTCCTGGCAAAGGATTTGCATTTGTTATACAAACTCTTACAAGTCACTAAGAAATAAGTAGATGATCCAAAAGAAAAATAGGCAAATAACTTGAGCAGATGATTCACTAGAAGATATTTAAATAACAAATACCTGAGAAGGTGCTCAACTTCTTTAGTCATCAGAGAAATGCAAATCAAAACCACAGTGTGCTACTACTGCACATCTAGAAGAGTTCAAATGAAAAAGACACACAAAACAAGTGTTGGCAACAATATGCAGCAACTGGAACTCTAACTTACAGGTGAGAGATGTATAAATTGGTGTGTTCACTTTGGAAAACAGTCCACTGTAGCTACTAGACATGTTTTGCAGTATTTAATGAAGCAGAATAAACTTATTTGACTCAGCAAATCCACCACAAGTATATACTTCACAAAATTGTGTGAACATGTTTAAACTTACACACAAATGAACAAGAATATTCATAGTGTCATTAACCATGAAAACCAAAAACAACACAAATATCTACAAATAGTAAGGTAGATAAACAAGTGACTCTAAGTTCAGATAATAAAATACTATACAGCACTGAGAATTAATGAATTATTGCTGTAGGCAATAACCTAGATGAATCTCACAATTGTAATGTGTGAAGGAAGACAGATGCAAAAGAGAAAAAAAATAACCTTTCTGATTCCATTCATAAATATTCAAAAGAAGGTATTAGAAGTCAGCACAGCAATTCCCCTTTGGGACCATTACTAAGAGAACCATAAGAGTAATCTGGGAAGGGATCATGCTCAGCGAAATAAGCCAGAAAGAAGAAGAAAAAATACCAGATAGTCTCACTCATAACAGGAATCTAGAAAACCTAAATAAGGGACCAGGAAAAAGAATAACTATAAGAAAGAAAAAAATCAACAAACAACTATGAACTAGAGACACACTTTGAAGGGGGGGGGCGGGGAAAGGAGGGCTTGGGGTCAAAATCAGGGGGTTGCAATTGTATGGGGAATATATAAAAAGAGTAATCTGGGGTGCTGGCTATGTTCTGCTTGATCTGGGAGCTAGCTATACTGGTGTGCTTGCTTTGTGGAAATTCTTTAAGTAGAGTATTATGCATTGAGTTCCTTTGATGATGATGCATGCACCAACAAGAAATGTTTGATTAAAATAATGAAAGCCATTATGCAAAATAAACTGGAAATATATAAGTAAGAATGACAAAATTTAACAGATATTTGTGAATAACATTGTTTATTGCATTGATGTCTTTATGAAAAGAAAATGCACAAAAACAAGTGGAAGTGAAAAATACAAGGACAGAGCAATGGCAAACTTAAAATGTAGCATTTTTATTACATTTAATGGTTTTGTTCAAAAAGGATACAAAACGGATACATTGGTGTAATTTGCAAGGCAACCTTAGGTATAATAAAAAATATGTGCAGATATTTCCCAATGTACATGATTTGATTTTTTGCCTTGTCATTGAAATACATGTACAATACTGGAATCTTATCCAGGAAGTTAGAAACAGAAAAAGACAGCTTTAATTTCAAGTAAATTTCCCATTGACAATACAGAATAACAAGTTTGGTTACTATAGTCACAAGATGCCTAAAAAAGACAGTATTCCTAGAATGTGGTGGGAAAGTCAAACTGGGAAGCGTTTGGAAAGTCAAACTCACATACTCACAAATTAATCCAAGATTTTACAAAACTTTATTCTTATTGTAAAATATAACTTTGGTAGTTTCTTTAACCAAGAAAAAAATTAGCAGTACATATTTCCTCTATTGAACAGAGGTATTCATTCATTTTCTGCAAGACTATTCTATTCACTCTTTGGAAATCAAATTTGTTGCCTCTCTAGGCAGGTGTCATTGTGAAGATGAGATAACTATAATCCTGGTGAAGCTTTATCTACCATGAGGAGAAATCTGTTCTAAGTCAATAAAAAACAGTATAACTCATGTGCATGAAAGAATATGGCAACATCATTACATTACAGCTCAAATTCCAGTATACAGCATGGGGGTGGGAAGATGATGATGATGATGCTTTTAGTCAACCAATTTGATATTCCTTCAGAGGTAGATACCTTATTTCTGATTATATTTAAGAAGAAAAACAGATAAGATATGCTGCCTTTAGATAGCCAGACGCATGTACTAGGTAATTCTCAAGCAAGCAAAAGTCTTGGTGGGGGACCTGAGTATTTTCTCTAGAAATGAAGCACAACTTCATTTATGCCAGTGTGAAATATATGGGAATAGTCCATTGGACCAAAGCCTATATTCTATAAAATACCTAGAAAATTGTTGGCACTGAGAAAATAATTAAGTTCAAGTAAAAATATAAATAATATTTCTTGGCTTAACATATAGATCTCTTTAAAATCAATACACAGATGGCTCCCGACTTTCAATGATTAGACTTTACTCTAGTGTGAAAACAATATATACTAAGTAAAAACCACACCTCAAAATTTGACTTTGATACTGTCCCAGGCTAGGGACATAATGGTATAATACTCTCTTGAGATGCCGGGCAGTGGCAGCAAGCTGCGTCTCAGTTGGCCGTGTGATCAAAAGGGCAAATAGTCACTACTCTGCAGTATATGATGCTGACAGCGTTGTATGGATATTGTGTTTTGTGTCTTCCCATCCCATCATATCCACAAAATATCTGAGTCTGATTATTATAGAGTAGGCTTTGTGTTAGATGATTTTGCCCAATTACAGGCTAATGTAAGTGTTCTGAGTATATTTAATGAAGGCTAGTCTGTACATAAGTTCAGTGTATCAGATGCATTTCTGACTTAGAATGGTGAACTACCAGGACATATTTGCAATATTAGTGCAGGAAGATCTGCATTTTCAATTTTTTTCTTTTGATACTGAGTACATTTGGAATGTATTATCTTAATAATTATGAACACAGATGTATATATAGGCAGTTCAGTTCCTAGACTTTTTCTGAAAAGTGGTCAAAATTAAGTTAAAGATCAATTTACATCTTGCTAATTTTTTAGAGGAAAAGAAAGCCTTCTATTTTAATGCTTATTCAATAAGGTTCTTTTTCTCTTCAAGAAAGACCTATAAATTTGTTTTATTTGCCACAATCTTATATACATATCAAAATTGGTTTTTGTTAAAAAAAATAAACAGATTTATTTATGCTAGATTTATTATGCTAGATTTTTAAATAGATCATACTTAGATATAAAAAATGATCATTTCTATAAACAATGATAAAAATCCATTTTTAAGCTAGAGAGTGTTGTATATTTTATTTGATCTGAATTGTGATCTATGATTATCATCAGAGGGAAATGTGATTTCTATAAACCAAAACAATCTTCTTACTGCTTTATTTCTCTAAGCCAAAGTTTCTAAAACATATGAGCCCAGTTCTGTCGCTTTCAAATGAATTATTTCCTTGATTCCGAATTCTGGTCACATATAATAGTACTTCATTATTACACACTAATCAAATTTACATTAAAAGCAATTTTTTATATACTTGTTCAAAAGTGATTTTTGAAGGTTTCTATTGATCAATGCACTAATTATTATATTTCAGAATTTACTCAATGTGACCTGACACATGACCAGAACAGCTCACAGGTATCAAGGTCAATCAGACTCACCTGCCCTCAGAGGCTGTACCCCAACACAACAGAGATACACCAGTACCTTCACGAACAGTATTAGCCAAGTCTGTAGGGGATTAGCAGCATAATATCAGCAGATCCAGGATAACACTAAATCACTGTAAGTCTCCTCACCATTTCACACATTTCTAATGTAAGCTATTTATTTTATAAAGTCTCGAAACAATCTTTATGCTTCTGTTTCAATAGCTAAGAGGTCTGTTGTTTTAAATCAAACATAAATAATCTAATGGGAAAAGAATGAATGTTTTGAGAAATAGTCAATGCAGAAAATATTTGCATAGAATTACATTGATGGGTACATTTTGCCTTGCAGTCCTTGCTTATAGGGACCTCCTGAGCCACTTTCAGGAAGCGAGTGTACGCATCGCCTGTGAAAGCAAAGGGGAAACAGCTTTAATGCAACAGAATTCTCCTGAAGTCTATGTTACCTTTACTACAAATACATTTTATAGAGTTGGTTTTTTATGTTTACTTGTATTAGGTGTGTTCCATCACCAAAAACACTGAGTAAAAACTCAATTTTGGACATCATAATTTTAATGGATTTATTGATAAGCGGTAACTGCCATTTATTGAGCACTTGCTATTCATTACAAGATACTGTTCTTACATGCATCCTTTCATTTCCACCACTCTGTGAGGAATTTTTTTTTATTTTACATGAAGAGACTAAAATGAAGACCAAGTAAGTAGCTTGCCTTGGGCAACACAGTTAGTAAGCAGCAGAATCTGGGCAGCACTCAAGTGTCTGGTTCTAGAACCCTGCCTTGAAACCACTCTGCCATCATTATTACAGGAACCCTCCTGAGCAATTCTTTTTTGTGACAATCAAAAATATTCACATAATTTGGCAACTTCTTAAGTTCCAATTTTGATATATGATGAGTTCTGGCTCATTACAGCCAGCCCTAGAGCCGAAGTCCTACTGAAGCCAAAAGCCTGCAGAGCTCACTAGGACATTCCTGGCCAACCAAGCTGGGGGCTAAAATGTGGGACCTCTGATGTTCACTCTAGCAGTGTCTCCCCTCCATGAAAGTCTTCTCTGCCTGTCACCCTCACTACCCGCTTCTACCATAGGGGATTGAATGTTATTCTTTTCATCATTTTTATCAGGACCTGAAATAGGATGAGAAGGCATGCCGGTCAGATTTGCATGTGACACCGGTAAGGATGGACAGTTAATATGCTGGATGATAGGTTGAGAATTCAAAGTGTCAATAATTCAAAATGTTCATAAACCAGAACCAACAAGAAGTAATCTAGCAGAAATATGTGTAGTTCTGCATTAGGGTCAAAAGCCAATTATATATGTATAAATGGGGAGCCCAGCTAGACTATAGTTTGTGTGAAAAATGCCCAAGTCATCAGATCACCCTTTTGCTTCAATAGAAATATAGATATTGATGTAGCTATTATGAAAACAAGCATATTTTAAAGCCATAGTAATAGAAATATTTTGAGATCAAGGTAGGTCATGTTTGCATAATCTCCATGCTGGCTTGACCCCTCTGGGGTTTTGTGTCCCCCTCTTGGCCAGGAAGCACTGGCAAAAATTCATGTCTAGGAGGAACGTTAAAGGAAATTGGAAGAATCTTATCTGGAGTGCAGTCTGGGGAAGATGTGAGAGCTATTCTCAAATATTTAAGGGCTGTTCAGTGGGGAGATTTGTGGTGTTAGAGAGTGCAGATCCCAGCCCATTGGGTGGTTATGATAGAAGACCAAACCTAGTTTTGTAAGCACAACAAATGTCTGCAAACTTCCAGTCCTGTAACAAACTTCCTGGGAAAGATACTAGTTGCCAATGTCTGGGAATGTTCACACAGAAGCTGAGTGAGTATCATCAGGGATGGTATAGGAGAGATTTCTGCTCAGACTAGGATGTGACAACCACTTGACATCTAAGACAAGTTTCAACTTTAAAATCCTATGATTGTCCTTTTGGTCACATTTTCCTCAGTGGTTGAAACACAAAATTCATTCAGACACTACAAGTTTTCCTCAAGTTTTCTAGGAATAGTCTGATGTCCCAAGAGCATAAGAAATACATGTAATCAGTCTTGAATGGAGGGAGTGTCTTTTTTTATGCCTCAATGGTCAGGTGAGGAAAGGTCAGGGGTTTCCTGCTCCTAGAATACTGTTCCTGGAGCTTATGAAACTCCTGGGTTAGAAATTCCCTCTACTCACTTTCCCTCTATCTTACTGATCTTAGCCTCTGGGAGAGGCTTAGGTAAAAATCAGCACCGATGTGATGATATGATGGCTGCTTCCAGTTACCCTTCATATCTATAAGCCTGAGGCAAAAGATCCCAAAGTACTTGTCGTCTAGGAAGAATTCTGGTTTTGTACTTTGCTTTTTCTATGAAGTTATCCCTTTATTTAATTAAAAAAATATTTTCCCTGGATACTTTCAACCAGACATGGTCACAGTTTTTATTATCCTGTTTATTCAATATTTGATCCAAAATTTTCCTTGAAAGGAAATAAAGATCATACCTCATCCTGGACATCAAGTTCTTCTTCAATCAACTCTGTTTCCATTAATTCAAGAGGATCTTTACAGTCTTGCATAAGGGTGATCTTAGCAAAGAGAACACAGAGAATATTTATTGGAAATATAATAGCATCAACAGATACTCCACTGAAAGTGATCTGAGGTTTTGCTGGTGCTTCTCACCTACAATCTACATACTTCAAAATTCATTTTAACTTTCTTGTTCTTCTATATTTCCAACTTGAGAATTTTCTCTATACCATTTTTTTTTCACATTCAAGTGTGAACAGGCTTAGTTCTCTACTGCTCAGCCTTTTCAGGTCTCTTTTCCAACCCCTGAAGTGTATGCCTCTTAACAAGTCACTCCATCTACCTAAATGATTCAACAGTGTTTTTATTTCCTTGGTGAAGCTAAGAGCACTTAGTACAGCATTGAGCATGCAGTGAATACCTAGTAAAGGGTTTGTGACTGATGACAAAAAACAATCCCAAGTTGGACCCCATGGAAAGTAATTTAGTTGGAAATTCCTATTGCCTATTGATGTCATAGCCACACTGCTTGAGCACTACAGGAGCAATAACAAGTTATGATGACCCCAGCTCCTCTTCCAGTCTTGAATTCTGGTGCCAGTAAAATGGAGAAGTGCTGTTTGGAGAATAACATAACTCTATGAGGGCCTCCCTGGTGGTGCAAGGGGCTGAGACACAGCCTGTGAAGCTGTCCGCAGCCACTGTGGCGCAAGTTCGATCCCCGGCCAGGGAGCTACCCTTATGGTGCAGCAGACCTCTCCTGTCTCACTCGCTGCTCCCCTCAGCAATGTATTTCGGTCTGTCTGCCTGTTCTGTTCTCTGCTCTGTCTCTGGTGAATCCTCTCACCCTCCACACCTTTGGCCTGTACCCCAGTTCTTGTATGTGCAAATAAATCTTTTAAAAAAAATAGCTCTATGTTGTTCACAAAACAAAGAAGTCACCTAAAGATGAATTTCTCAGAACTTATCCCCATTGTTCAGTGACACATGACCAAATAGGTCTTGGCTCTGGACACGGAGGGTACACAGAAGCACAAGTTTCCTGACCTGACGGGCAGGCAACTATCCAGTGAATCAGTAAGTGTATATTGCAAGCACTTTGTTATCTTTGGTCTAACTTTGGTCATGCTCAAAAAATCCACCCCAGTCATTCATGATGCGTCTCTGATTGTAAGCAAGCTTGAGGCTAACCCTGGGGGGCACTCTTGGTTAGTGTTTTGTGTGACATCATCCTTAAGACCTTGGATCAGAACAGGGAGTAAAAAAGTAACAAAATAACTATTTTCATGTTGGGAAAGAATTTGACACTTTGGTTTTCTTTTACTTTCAATGCAGGAGCATTATTGGAAACTTTATATAACCTTGCTTTGCTGTTTTACTTATGGGTTAGAAGGTTAAGTCAAAGATTTATGAGGTTTTAAAGATGAGAATCTTGCATATAAACTTTTTTTTTTCTTTTTTGAGCTCTGTGGTTGTATTACTTTTTCCTCTTTTGTATTTAAGATTCACAAGTTGTAACTAGGGCTAGTATTTTCCCCAACAGCATGAAGCAGAACAATCTCTGCGCTAACAATAGCTAAAAAGAACAATGTTCTATTGTTTTCTAAATTAGTTTTACTTTAAACATTAAATTCCAATCTAGAATAAGAATCTATTTGTACTAATTTTAGAAAAATAGAAAAGCAATTTCAAATACAGTAGACTCTTTTACTGGAACAATTACTATCGGTGCTATTTTTTTTTTTTTTACAAGCATTTGTTTTCGTTTCCCAAATTCACTGTGAGCAGTTCCATGGAAGACAAGTTTCTTATATCAGATTCACCAGTGTGCCACATCTGATGACCTAGACCAGAATGCTCAACTCACCTTTGTATTTGACAGGAGAATTGTTAGAACGAGGCCCAATGGAAAAAGAGGATCTATTTTATTTTGCAGGAAATAATTAACTTTGGGCCAATTAATGACTTTTAATTTTTCCCTCTTTTTCAAATATCACTTATGACCTAATGGATCCTATATATGACATTAAGAGTTTCCAGACCTCTGACAATTTAAATAACATTTGTATACACAAATCACAAAGAAACAAAGATTTAGTACCTACATTCTAAAAAGGCATTACAATTAATGCCAGCTTTTGTTAGTAAACCCACACATTGTAGAATTAAAATGCACTAGTACTACCAAGTGTAAAACTCATGCTAGTTTAGGAAAAATACATGTATAGGAAAGTAGAATGTTTACCGTTTCTAAAATGGAATCCTGAACATCTCGGGACTTAATCTGGTTCTGTAGGTGGAGGACAGCATCGTGGACCGTCAGAAAGAATATGTCCATCTTAATGCTATCATTAAAGAAACCACACTTCTCCAGCTTTTCTATTACAGAATCTTCAAAAGAAAGAGATACTCTTTAATTCATCTCTAGGAGAATATATTTTGTAATACCAACCAATATTAAGTTTTTGTAGCTCTTCCTTTTATAATAATATTTTTGTTCTGTAACCCTGCCCTAAAGTGATGGAGCTTCTTTTCTAGTAGCACAGGTTATACCAACACTGTTATAGTAGCAGCATTGTTTCCTGATTGTTTCCTCTTTTTGGGGGTACCCATGCCAGCTGCTCAAATTATAAATGGTTCACAGCTATGCTTTTCTATGGGGAATTTTCCTTAGCCAAGAGTTACAACCATAACCTTGAACAGTCTGCAGCCATTGACTCACTGATCTGGGGGCAAAAAGGCAGGCCCTCTTGCCTCAAGGAGGTTAACTATCTGGTGATTTTCCTGCTGTGCGCTCCCTATGAAATCATGTTAAGGTGGACTTCTGAAACCACATCTTTGTCCAGCTTCTTCCCCTGCCCTGTCCTACACCCCTCACTCCTTGTGAACTTTTCCAGAGAATACACTCTCAATAAATCACTGTGCAAGAATCCTTAGCTCAGGCTCTGCTTCTGGAGAACTCAGCGTCAACATTAGTATTTCCCCACACATATATACACACACACTCACACATAGATACAAACTCATACCCTGGAAGACCATCTAGTTCTAAGGGATCCAACTCATCGCCAGTTCTGTTTTCCCCATGCTAATTTCTCCCCATTGATCCCGAGCCATTATCAGGATTTAGGTTTCCATGAAGTACCAGCTTTATGGTAACTGGAAGTAATATCTTTCTAGGTTCAAACGAGCTCTCAGAGTGACTGCTTAGTGAGTAGAGTTCCTATTTATGGTGCTGAAAAATTTTGGAAGTAGATAGTTGTGATGAGTGCCGCACAACTTTGTCAATGTACTTAATGCCACCGAATTGAATACTGGAATGTGACTAATATGATAGATTTATATCATGTATCTTTTACCACAATACAAAAAATAGTAGTAAAGCATTTAGACATCATGTACCCACATTACAAGGTAGGAGAAAGGGCTTGGGGGAAAGTTAAAGAAATGTGCATATGTGTATTTACCTTGAAGTGATGCAAAATACACATTTACATCAATTCTTTGGAATTCCTTGACAATCTAGAAATTTAAAAAGAATTCATCATGAGTTACTTTATCTGTTCATAATTCAGTAGCATCCAGTTATTTGTTCAGGAGAAACTTCAGCACCTACATGGCTAATGAGGACTTTAAGAAAGGTTTCTTATTGGAAAATTCCATTATTGGAAAACAGAGGTTTTCAGGCCACAGTTAAAGCATGATAAGGGATGAGGTATCTCAGGAGGAAGCAACACCCAGCACTCAGTAGCACAGCAGTCTACTGTAGCACAGAGGTGCTCAAAAATATTTGTGGAAGGAAGGAAAGAAAGGAGCCCAGGAAGCACCCTAATATAACCCCTGCTGATTATAGACAAGAGTCTATATTTTGGAATGGAAGCAATATGGATGTGAATATGTGGTCACTAGATTCCAAGTGAAAACACTATCCCTTATTGCTTGCTTTCATATTCCATTTCTTTTATATTTTCAGAAAAATAAACATAATACATGTCAATATTTGCTGAGGGGCGACTATGCGCCAGACACTCTTCTAAACCAGATGATGATGATGATGATAGATAGATAGATAGATATAGATAGATATTATTTGCTAATTTAATTCTCAAAACAATAAGTAGTAAGTGAATTATTGTAAGCCTACAGCATACAATATCAATATTCCAAAATCAATTTTGTTTTTTGGGATGAACTTGTTAATATTAATTTCTCAGTCATTTCCATATCTATATAACACTGGGGGGTATATTTTCATAGCTCCATTTGTGCACACGCTTTAGTTATCCTCCACAAAACCCTTGCACCTATATCCTATTCCCTTCTTTCCCCTATTCTTTTCTCCCTACTTCTGTCTCATCCCCTCTGGTAACCAGTATATTTTTCACAGAGTCTAAGAATTATTTTTGTTGTGCTTTTCCAGTATATGTTCTTTGTTTCTTTATATTACACAAATAAGTGAAACCATCTGGTATCTGTCTTTCACTTTCTGACTTCATTTAGCACAGTCATCTTAAGATCCACCCATTTTGTCCTGAAAGGCACTAGTTCATCTTTTTATTTATTTATTTTTATTTTTTTATTTAAATATTTTATTTTATATAATTCTTACATCTTTTTTCATCTTTGCACAATGTATGCATTTTCATTTTGGTTATATTCTCCATACAATTGCACCTCCCCCCTAATTTTGACTCATAGATAGTAATATTATCTGGCAAGTAAAGACTGCTTTGCCTTTCCTTTTCCAATATGAATGTTCTTATTTATTTATTTATAGTTCCTAGTTTTCCTGATTAGAACTTCCAATACAATGTTGAATAGAAGTCGTAAGAGTGGATATCTTTGCTTATCCCTGATCTTAGGGGAGGGAAAGATTTAGTCTATACCATTAATTGTGATGTTAATTGTACATTTTTGGTTGATTCCACTTACTAGGTTAAGAAAGTTACCATCTTCTACTAGTTTCTTATCAGTTGGTTTTTTCGGATCAGAAGAAATTTTAGATTTTGTTAAGTGCTTTTTCCATAGTTATTAAGATAATCAAATAATTTCTTCTTTGACTCATTGGTTAGTTACAAATGTATTATTTAGTTTACAATTATTTGAAGATTTTCCAAATATCTGTTATTGATTTATAATATACTTCTACCATAGTCAGATAATACACTTATTATATGGCTTGAATCTTTTTTTTATTGTATTGAGACTTATTTTATGAATCAGAGAATGATTTATCTTAGTAAATCTTCCATGTGCACTTGCAAAAAAATGTATATTTTACTATTAAGTGGATTGATTCATAAATGCTAGTCAGCTAAAAAAAAAACCAATATGAAGTAGAGACCATCATTCTCTCTGTATTATAGATGAAGAAATTGAGGCACAGATAGATGAAGCATCGTGCCCCATTGTCATGCTGTCACTAAGTGGTAGACTGCAGGTAGTTTGGCTCCATAACCTATACTTTAAACAGACTGCACTCTATTGCAAGAACATTCTCTGAGAAAAATAAAAAGCCCATGCAATCACCTTTCTGCAAGACTTGGTAACCCATATCATTTTACTACTGTCAAAACTCCAAATCTATAACTCAAAACACTAGAACCTTACCGCTCGCAGTGATCTCACTCCAACCACATCCAAGAAAGACACAGCTCCACAATCAATCACGAGGCTGTGGATTGGCACTTTAGGAACATTCACTTTGACTGGAAGCTCAGAGTTCCAATCCACTTGAATCTCTATTTCCTTGGTTGGGATATCAAATTCTTCAGGATCTTCAATATCTTCATCAGGCTCAAAAGCATTATTTGATGAACCGATATCACTGATAATGCCATTCTAAACAGAGGAAACACTGCCAAGTTAATTATCAATGATTTGGGATGTCTTTTGCCAGTATACGACAAGCCTATAGCTAGCATCATCCTCAGCGGTGAAAAATTGAGCGCTTTTCCACTAAGATCTAGTAAAAGAGAAGGAAGTCCCCTTTCACCACTACTATTCAACATAGTATTGGAAGTCCTACTAGAGAAATTAGGATAGAAGATATAAAAGGAATCCAAATTGAGAAAGAAGAAGCAAAGTTGTCATCATTTGCAGACAACATAATAATATACATAAATAACTTTAAAGTTCTACACATTCTTCCTTGGTAAGCAAAACATCGATAGGGGGAGCTCTTAAGGAATGAGGTTTATTGACCTCAGCCCAAACTTTGATATTCTCTAAGAAGAAAAATGGAAGAGTAGAGGAACCAGGAAGCTCTTGATTTCTGGAAGATTGTGGAATTTGGCCCAAAGATACATTGGCAGGGCAAATTAAATAAAAGTTAGAGCTCTAAAAGTTTATGAGCTTACTGCCGTCTGTTGTGAGTAACTTTCTGGCATTAAATTAGTACTTGTTTTGTTCCTTTCAGTAAAAAGAAGGTTTATATCATGATAGAAAAAAAATCACACCCTGTGTTTCCAGGGAGCTCTGCTGATTTCATTTCATCCCCTCCCATTGCCTCTTGCCTACGAAAACAACTCAGCTGTTCAACATGCATATGGCATCTGCTTATACACATCTGGGTACGAAGTGGGTAGATTTAATTTTAGACTAACTGCTTTCATTCTCATCTGAGGTAGAATTTAAGAGGGTGGAGGGAAGATGTTGCCTTACCTTCGTTGCTCTCAATTTCCCTTTCTTGATGAGTTTCTGTATTTTCCTCAGTGCTTTCAACCTCTTATTATATACTCTAATGGCATCAAATCCAACCTTTGGAAATAAATGTCAAGTTACTTAGCAGTCTCAACTGTTAGGTCACACTTCCCTGCCCACCCAGAGATTCAGGGAAGACAGTAACATATCAAAGGCTCTAAGACAACATAAAACAGAACAACAAAATAATGACAACCTCTTCAGCTTTAAGTCTGTGTTTTCCAAATTTTGTTCACATCACAGAGCCCTTTTGTTATTGTAAAATCTATAAACATTCCTCTGAACCAGTTTGTCCTGGAGTTCACTTAGGAAATCACTGTTCTAGAGGCAAACCCCAACTGTGAAGCATAGTATGACATAGAGGACCAAAATTCCCTGCTTGTATTTTCTACTTCAACCATTTACCCTTCACTCCAAATGAACAACCCTGTCCCCTAATATGTGATCCCACCTTTTCTTCTCAGTTCACATAATTCCCAAATACCTGACCTCCTCTCCTTCCTTCTGCCCAACTGCAATCCAAAGTGTAATCCATCCAACTACTGCCCTTCCACGAACTCTTGCCACTGTCTACACTACCCATGCAGGACTCACATTCTGCCTGGAAATGTTGCTAGTGTTTCTGACTGGCATATTTATTGCTGCCTGGATTTTAATGTTTCTGTTACTTTGTATTTTTCCTGTCCCCAAAGAGGTGGTAAGGTATTTGAAAGCAAGGATGTTATTATTCTGAATGCCTACCACAGGAGGATAGGTTATAGTACCCTCTGCCCAGTTTGAGCTCAATAAATACCTGTAAAATGAATGAAATCTCAAAAATTATAAATACTTACTGTGGCCTTGATACATTTTTTAAAACCATCGACATTGCCATAAAAAATAGGACTAGAAAATCTAAGAATCTTCACTCCTTTTGGTTCTTCAATCTAGCATTAAAAAAAAAATCAGTGAGGTGAACAACTTCAGATCTCAAATAGTCAATTAATTTTCTGGCTATTCAACTAGAACTCAGTCACAGAGGAGCAGGGTAGCAGCCTTCAACTTTCCTTGAAAGGGAGGTTGAGAGGCAATAGGTCACTAAAATCCCTGGACCTGCAACATTCACTTGAAAGTGTAAGTAGGAAGGGCCTTGGGAAGCAGTTATTCAATCTTTTGATTTCTAGATAAAGAAATTGAGACTCAGAATGGTGACATGATTTGCCTTGAGTTCGTTTCACTGTTCATACCCTACATTTTTTGCTGATTTTTTTTTTTAAATAGGAAAAAAATGAAGGGAGGTTGCAGGTACTGGAGTCTGTGCTTGCTCTTACTCAGACACACAGTGGGCAGACCAAGGGAGAAGCACAGCATCAGAGAACTGTGGGCTTTTCTAATTTTTAGGAATCATGTTCATCTTAGTCCAGTTCCTCCCAATGAGAATATTGAGGCTGAGTAACTTAGGCAAAGTCTCCCCAAGCCAGAGCCAAGATTCCAGAACTCCCAAACATAGCTTAGGTTTCCCTGCCGCAGAGTCAAGGTTCCATAATGAGAACAACCAAGGTTGTACACAGTGAGAATTACTGTAGAAATAAATTAAGTAGTGATCATTGAAATTTCAGGTTCAGTGTCCAACATTTTTTTAACATTAAAATAAAATTAGGGGTCACCTTAATAGAAATATTTTTTGCCATTAAAAACTATTTTTTTCCTAAGTTACTGTTAGCTTAATTTTCTTTCTCAGCTTTTCATCTCTTTTCTGCTAGTGCTCATAAGCAATTTTATTTGTAGGCAATACAAACCCATCAGTGGCACATTTATTTTCTTGGTTGATTTCCTGTATTATATATTATTTCTTCCAGTTCGGACAGAGCAAATGTTAAGGTCCTCGGTGATAACAGAACATGAACGTCTCATGTTAGAATTGAATGTGGAAAATCATAAGGATTTTGGTTTCATAGAGGTTAAGAATTTGATTGCAGAGAAATAGATTTTTGCTTTTACTATTTAAATCACTTTAAATATTTATGTGTACATGAATTGGGCTCAGTGGGCATTTTGGATTTGTACATCATGTTTTTCATCAAGTTTGGGAGAATTTTGATATTTATCCAAATACTGTGTCTGTCATTTTCTCTCTTATTTTCTTTCGGGACTCACATTACATGTGTTGATGTACTTTATTTTGTTCTAGAGGTCTCTGAGGCTCTGTCCATTTCTTAACATGGAGATACAGCTGACATCTAACTATTATTAAAGTGTACAGCATAGAAATGATTCAAATGATATTTGTTTATATTGCAAAGTGATAACCACAGAAGTCTAGGCAACATCTGACACAATACATCGTTATAAACTTTTTCCTGTGATGAGATCTAGTATTCTTAGTAACTGATAATGTGCAATAACAGTATTATTACCTATAAATGCCATGCTGTACATGCAGCCCCGGATTTATTCACTGTGTAACTTTAACTTCTGACCCGTTTACCCTGAGAAATAGGATTTTGAATCTACTTTCAGATGTAATCGAATTACCTATTTAAAAAATTTACCTCTTAAAACGGCTTTACATAGATATTAAACTAACATGGACAGAATTCATATAAACCATGGACATCAGAGGGCACATCACGTCAAAAGTATTCATGACACTCCCAGTGGACTTCTAGACTTTCCTGACAAAAGCCCGCCTTTGGCTACTTTGTACCTAATAGGCTAAAAGAAAAATGTTCACCCCCTCAAAATGCAGGCCAGCAGACCCAAATTTAATAAGTGTCTCCCAAAGGCACTTACATTTTTGTAGTTCTTGGTACTTTTATAAATGTCTGTGCTAGGGATGCTTCCAAGGCTATTCCATGAGGGACTGAAAGAGGAAAAATCAAGATCAGAATTTTTTTGGAACAGGCATGCTTTGGAATAAAAAGTTAGAAGAAATAACAGATACGAAAGAGCCCATCATTCTGATGTGTGGACTCCGTCTTTATTGCAGATGACATTTTCCTGTAGCTAACTATGAAATGAACAGCTGGTGTTTGTGTGGAACTGGAAGAGAAAGGGAGAACTGTGACTCTTTTCTGATGACTGAGAAACCATGTGCATCATACACTCCCGGGTGTGGAGGATGAACAATGAGCGACCATACATGTTAATCTTCAGCATAACCCTAGGAGGTCAGCAGGATTACCCTCATTTGGCAGAGGCCAGGACAGACAGAGGCTCAGAGAATGAGGAATGGTCTGGAAGCAAGAGGCAGCACAATGTCTTTGTTTAACCCATGGGGCTTCAGTGCCTGGCACATACTTGTGAGCGACAACTACTTTCTGAAGAAGTATGGAGAGTGCAGTGGTCTAATTATTCTCATTTATAGAAATAGGAGCCTGGGAGAGACAGAAATGGGTCCTTCTCATTATCTAGAATGTTGATTTCCCATTTCTGATGCCATCAAATAATTGCTTGATTCTTCAAGTGTGACTAGGGACGCATGCTAAGTACAATTCCTGAAGAAAGAGTATCTGTTTGGGGTACTCTCAGCAATGTGCTCTTGGATCAGCCTAAATTACAGGAAATTAAATGCTGTGGAGGGTAACTGCTTTTCCTTGGCTAACAGTCTGTTTACAAAATCAGTGGCAAAAATGTGCCATTGATTTCTCCTTGGCTTACTTTGCCTTGCTGATTTTTTATTATTTTTTTTAAAGATTAATCTATTCATGCAAGCACTGGGGTACAGGTCAGAGGTGCAGGAGGGCAAGAGAATTCATCAGAGACAGAGTGGGGAGCAGAACAGGCAGACTGACTGAAATACACTGCTGAGGGGAGCAGCGGGCGAGACAGGAGAGGTCTCCTGCACCATGTGGGTATCTCCCTGGCTAGCCGGGAATTGAACCAGCACCGCAGAGGCTGCGGACAGCTTCACAGCACTGTGCTCAACCCGCTGCGCCACCCACTGCGCCACTGGGGAGGCCCACCATGCTGATTTTTTAATTGAAATCTCCTAAGCTCTATGGTGTCTGCAAGGTCCTCGCTCTTGCCATACCCACACCAGGAAAGGCAGACACAGAGGCCCACAGAACACTCCCAAGCAGCATCTTCTGAGGACAGTTTCTGAGTTGTTTCCCAGCAGCAAATCGGGCAATTTGGAAGCTTGTGAACTCTTCAGGCCCTTGAGCAACCATTTATGGCCCCCAAGGCAATAAACACCTTTTGCGTAGGTTCCAACATGCCAGGGTAGGGAGGGAGAAAAGAACAGGTTGCTAAAACAGGAAAGGTGTGCTCACGCTAAGTTGAGGACATTAATGTTTTTCCAGATTTCTTGTTCCTTCACGGACCAAGCACAAGCAGAGAAGGGATCAGAAGTCTAGAAAGGTAACAAATATTTTGAGGAGGGAGAGCATCTCAGTTCCCTTGTGGGCCGGGGAGGGTACTACCTCAAGTTTTGTAAGAGTCAAAACAAAACCAACAAGGAAATACACTTTCAGGCTCCCTCACAGTACTTTCCATTACTTCAAACTAGGTCTTAGCTACCTTTACTCTGCAGATGATCTAATTATGTCTACTTCACATAATTGTCTTATTGGGCACTTGCCTTATTGGGCAAATTTGAATGAAATTTGGCCACATCAACTGTTTTGTAAAATCTCTCACTCCTTATATAACTTCTGGAAAGAAGTTGAAAATGAGCTATAATCTAATATATTTAACAACTATGTCTCACTTCCTTCATTTCATTTACAGAAGAAACTACAAAGTAACCTTAGTCTTTTGCTAAATCATCTACTTTTAGTTTTATCATGACTAGAAGGAAAACACAGAAGTAGAACATGTGACTGAGTGTATAGATTTGGGGGTGAGATACATCTGGTGTATGCATTCAGACCTGCCACTCACTAGCTTTGGTATTTGGGGCAGGCCCTTAATCTTTCTGAGCTTCAATTTTTCTTACCTATAGAATGAGAATAACAAAACCTATTCACAGGATTTTTTTTTAAGATTAAATATAACAATGTGTGTAAAGCAAAACTTGCTTAATTCACAGGCACACTCAACATATAATAACTTTTCTGAAAGGGAGTGGTTTTAATATATCTATCAAAAATAGTATAAGAAATCCCATGTTTTTAAGAAACCCATGTCATAAATTACTCACAACTGAACTCTCAGGACAACAGTCAGCAATCCAAATAAAAGGCCAGCTAGTAAACCCAGGTCCAGCCCCAGAATGATGGATGCTATGCATGTAAACACCCAGATAACCTAGGAAAAAATGGAAATGAAAGAATTATATTAATTCATCAGGTACTATCAGGTAAAAGACTATCTATGAAAAATAAGATCAATTGTCCACAAACATAGCTTTTAAAAAATATATGACTTTGGGCCTCCCCTGGTGGCGCAGGCGGTTGAGCGCAGCGCTGTGAAGCTGTCCGCAGCCTCTGCAGTGTGGGTTTGATCCCGGCCAAAGAGCGAGCATCCCACATGTCGCGACAGACCTCTCCTGACTTGCCCGCTGCTCCCATCAGCAGTGTATTTCGGTCCTTCTGCCTGTTCTGGTCCCCGCTCTGTCTCTGGTGAATCCTCTCACACTCCTGTACATCTGGCCTGTACCCCGGTTCTTGTATGCATGTATAAAATAATCTTTAAAAAAATAAAAAAAAGTCTGACTTTGTTTAATATTTTAGTGGAAGTGGAAACTGGATGTCCCAGTAAATACCAACTGTGATTACTATTCATCACAAATACCAAATACCAAAGTGATTACTATTAATATTAAGGTATACAGTGAAAAATCTTGCCTGCAGCCCTCTATCTCTCCACTCGTTGTCAACTAATAAATTCTTTTATTTCTCTCTCTTTCTCTCTCTCTCTCTCTCTCTGTGTGTGTGTGTGTGTGTGTGTGTGTGTGTGTGTATGTACATGCACATTTCCCCCTGGCATTTCTTTTTGCAAACACAAGTAAATATGGCTACACGGTCCTACTTTAATTTACTGTATTTTACACATTCTGTTCTCCTTGGTCTCTTTTTCACTTAACTCGTCTTGGATATGGTTCCACACCAATATGTGGAAAGTTTTCTCATTCTTTTTAACCACCCAGATTTAAATCAGAGCAGAACTACAATGGATTTAGCTTCTAGTGTTCAAAATCCTTTGAACAGTTGTGAAGGTTTACTTAGGTCAGACTTTTGTAATCAGCATGGGTTTTTGTATTTTGTGATTTTGTTTGTTTTGTTTTCTCTTTCATTTGTTCTTCTAAAATGGAGTTTTCAAATTTTTTTCAGTTTGGTTTTGGACTCCAGAAGTCCAAGTGTCCAAGAATGAGCTTATAGGAGATTCTGCTGTAAATGGATCTTCCCAGAAAAACAGCTCCTTCTCAAAACACAGTTCACCTAAACTTCACAGTTTGGCTTATCCACATAATTCTAATTTCTACTCTAGGGTTTCTAATTTACAAGTAAAACTTAAGCAATGAGGGGATGTAGTGATGTGGCCGGAATCATAGGAGAACCAAAAGTAATTTTCGAGAAGGAAGAGAGGTGCGTGACTTACAGCATCAATCTTGTTCTGCCTCCATAGACGAGGAATGTCACACACCTGCATAAACATCCCTTTCAGGTTGGCGATTACAACAGCTGCCAAGACCGACTGCCAAGAGAGACAGGTAAGGCTGTGTTATTCAGGGGAATGGTTTTCTATGTGATGACTTTTATATCTCCTGTTATTTCTCGGGTGGCAGAGCAGTGGTGAGAAATTATGCAACCAAAGTGCCAAGAAGCAGGATAATACCTTCTGCAAGGGTTCGAGCAGCTTCCCCAGGGCAACAATGGCGATCAGCACAATCCCAGCAGAGATGATGCCGGCAACCTGAAAGACACACCTCCAGTGACCTGGGTCATCTTCCCTGCAGCTCCCAGCTCAGAGTGTGTAGTGCACTTGATGCTTCCCAACCTCCCCCCTTTTACTCAATACTGTTGAAAGAACTGAGAATTATTTGCTAAAACACTATAAAACTGAAGAAAAATGGAAAACATATATATAGAGAGATAGATAGTATCTATGGCTGAAAAATCAATGAAAATGTGAAGGCTGAGTCTGCTAAAGGACAGCCAGTATGAGCCCAAAGGGGACTGTGGGTAAAGGGCTCTTTCCTTTCCATCTGGCAGCAGCCATCAGGTAAGCCAAAATGGGCACTTACAAACACATCCAGGAACTATGGAGGAAGAAGCAGTCCGATGTGATGTGCTTTCTTCTCAAGGTGCGCTGCTGGCAGTATCGCCAGCTGTCAGCCCTCCACAGGGCACCCCGCCCCACCCGGCAGGATAATGCACGAGAGAAGACTGGGATACAAGGCCAAGCAAGATTATGTCATATATCGGTTTCGTGTGCACCGTGGTGGCCACAAACGTCCAGTTTCAATGGGTGTAACCTATGGCAAGCCTGTCCACCATGGTCTTAATCAGCTGAAGTTTGCTAGAATCCTTCAGTCTGTTGCTGAAGAGCAAGCTGGATGCCACTGTGGAGCTGAGAGTCCTGAATTCTTACTGGGTTGGTGAAGATTCCACATACAAATTTTTTGAGGTTATCCCCATCGACCCATTCCATAAAGCTGTCAGAAGAAATCCTGACACCCAGTGGATCACTAAACCAGTCCACAAGCACAGGGAGATGCGGGGACTAACATCTGCAGGCTGCAAAAGCCCTGGTTTTGGAAAGGGCCACAAGTTCCACCACACTATTGGTGGTTCTCGCTGTGCAGCTTGGGGAAGGTGCCGTACTCTCCAGCTCTACCGTTATTGCTAATAAGTAACGTTTGTAAAATTCTTACCAAATAAACAATTTAGGACAGTTAAAAAAAAAAAAAAGGAAAGCCAGTATGGCCTGGATTTCATGTGGACCTATAGTTTGGGTGTCAATTCAGGAGGACAAAGGAATACCAGGAATCGTAGACCACCTCTCCTTCCCCAACCCCAGATGACTGTAAGGTTCCTGAGAAATGAAATTTGATGGCACTTTTCTCATTTCTCTGTATTACTGATTCATCAGTAGTAACAGCAATTCTGATAACAGTTTGAACTTGTAGCACATGGCGCCCACAAAGTATCAGGGAAAAAAAAGATATCAGTCCTGTTGCAAATTCAAAATGTGCATGAACTATCAAGAGGCAAGGCCTTATCTCCTGGTTCCTCTGAGTGCCACAGAGACAGGCTCCAAGTTTAGCCTGCCAGCAGTCTGGGTGATGACAGAGTACATAGCAGGGGTGCAGGACCTCAGAAACTTTACCTTAGCTGGCAAGAAAGTTCTGCTAAGATCCAAAAGAGTTAGGAGAGAGGCTGAGGGGGTGGGACTATTCTCTGGTTTGAGTAGATGACCAGTGAATTCTCTGTTGAGACAGCTGGGGCATGCTCAAGGTGAAGACTAGAAACTCTGAAACAAAGAATAAAAAAGGGGACAGGGAAGCAGAAGCAAATCAGAGAAGCAATCAGAGAGGAAGCAACAGGGAAGATTGTGTTGGGTACAAGGACTGCCTGGTGCAAGAGGTTTGAGTTCAGGAGACAGATCAAGTCAATACAAAAGAAAATCTACAAACATAAGGAAATTTCATAGTCACACTCCTTCACTCCACTTGGCAAACTGATCATTCACATCCTGATTAAATTTAGGTCAGCCAGAGGCAATATTAATGCACATAACTGAAGAAGAAGCTTGCTTTCTACCTGAGCCCTTTTTCTTCTTTCCTTCTGGAATCACTCCTCCAGGCTCCCAGTTCTTTGGGGGAGCTTTCCTCTCTTCTATCTAAGCAGACAAGCTAATATGTTTTTTCCCCTTCCATCTACCCCTCCTTTCTTCCATGCAATTTCTTAACTAGCATTCATGGTCGATTATGAGCCACTTGCATCTCTGTGGATGAAAGCTATTGTGAATTGGCAAGAGAAGTGGAAATTTGGGGACAGGGACCATGGTCCTACTCACAGCAAGCATATGTAATAATTAGCCTCTAATTATAGAGATCAAGTCTTATTTTAGTAAAATCTGCCAGGATCCCCTGCTGCTTACTTTGTAAGGTTAGTTAGTGGGAGATGCTATAGATTTTAAATCTATGAGAAGACTCGAGTATTAGAAAATTAATTCTTCTGTTAAGTGAAAGTGTAGTCACAGAGAATAGTTTGTGATCAGAATTACTTTTTCATGAGTCAGTAGGAGTCAGACGAGGGTAAGAGAGAAAAACAGATTGTACTGTTGATCTTTACTACAATCTGTTAATGTGCTAAAAACAGATAATTCCAATGTCACTCACTGTTTATCTTTTCAGCAAGTACATGCTGGATGCTTCTTGTGTCAGGCACAGTCTATATGTCATGGACACCAAGCACTGCCCCACTTTGGGAAGTGCATGACTGGAGCAACAAGAATTACAAGTATGTGCCAGGACTTCACAAACATCGTATTTAATCCTCTCAATAGCCCTCCCTATGAGGTGGATGCAAGTTCCATTTTATAGATGCTGAAACTGAGGTTCCCATATAAGCAAAAACATGAGAAGCCAAGAGAGGGTCTGTTAGTTTATTTGGTTATGAGTCCTTGGATGTCTGGCCAGGCAGTTAGACTTTTAACCCTAGAACTTAGTATACATTTCAGTAATTAAGTATCAAGTCATTCTGTGCATGTTTTATTCTTCAATAGTGAAGTCCTGGCATCCTTCATTCCTAAACATAATACACACTTGTGTGTGGCAGGACATATCAGCTTACCAGAACACCATTATCCCCAAGCTCTCTGCCAAGGCATCACTTACATGGGCATTCCTACTGGGACAGCCAGCCAGCACCTCATTCGAGCCTAGAGCTAACAGCAGGAAGGTGGACATCAGCACCGGGGATCTGCCTGCACCCACTTAGGCCGTGTGCCTTGGAGAGCTTGTCAATGCCCCATCACAAACAGCAACACTCTGGTCACTCACAGCTGCCCCCTGAACACAAATGCAACTTCTGAAATCACCTCTGACTTCTTCCCCAGGGTCCCAGATCTTTGGTTATACTTCCTGGTGTGGACTATATTGTCTTACCTGCTTCTTCAGTGTTAAAAGTATTGGGTGGGGGGGAGTAAACTCAACTCTAAAAAGAAAAATTCTGAAAGTTAAAATTAAATTTTTGTTCAAGAAATTGGAAGCTAATTGGAGCCAAGAATTTGGAAGATACCCATTCTTACAACCTGCCATAAATATCCATTATAATAAGAAAAGAAGATCATGGACAAGCCACTTTTGCTGCCTTCAGTTTTCTCAGTTACTCTTTTATACTAATTTGTATCTCTGCCTTAATAAAACTCTATTCAAAGAGTGTGTAAGTGGTGTTGGGGGGGGTGTGTGATGTACATGGGTGGTGGTGGGGTGTGTGTGTTAAACTATTTACTTTGTTCTCCTTTATAGTCTCAGTGTCCTTTTTCCTCTTCAATAATAGCTTAATCTCTGGAGAAGAAAACCCTCCAGGTATAACAGAACACAGATCCTGAGCCTGCCCTTCCTCCATTCACTTGGGTTGGCATATCTGACTCTGTGTCCGACTGGAATGTATGGCCTCAGAGAATGGCTCCTGAGTTCCTTGAAGGAAGGCTTATCCAGAGATTAACTGGAATCCTGGTTTCCTGGTGTAAAGACAATAACTTAAAACCACATTCAAAAGAAAAAGATTAAACCCACACTGAGAAGTTCAGGAACAAAAACCTTACTCAGGAAGACATGCCAAAATGTCACAATAAAAATTTTCTTGGCTAGCAAACAGTTGTTCTGTTGGATCTGGAGTTAGTTCCTGCTTCTTACAAATGACATGTAAATAGATGCTCTTCATCCTGAAAATGTAATAACTCACTAAGCCATGAAGTACTGTTACAAGGCCTTTTCCATGCCTAGATAAATTGATAAAAATCAGTATTCTTCATTACTGATTACTTGGCAATCTCTATTGTTCCTGGATAAAGTAGGTAAGTGTAATTATCTGTGTCTTAGCTATCCTGCAGCTAACTTGAGCAGTGATACAAAGAGATCTGAGATTTGCTGCATCAGAAAACCATCAATATTGCTTAAGAGTAAGGGGTGGAGCAAGGAAATGGATGGATGCAGCTGGAATCAGATCAAGAAGAAAAAGTCTCTCCTTTATCAAAGCATGATCATCCTGCTCCATTCTTGTGTAAGCCTTCTGAGCCGCCATCCACCTGATCAGTTTTCCACAACAGAAAGATATTGTCATAGTCTTTTCCATACCTGCGTCTTTCCCCCAGTGCTCTCTTGGACAGCAGTGCGTGACAGGGCAGTGGTGGCCACAAAACAAGAGAAGAATCCCGAGAAGATGTTGCTGATCCCAAAGGCAATAAATTCCTAAGGGAGAGACTGGATGACAGGGATAGTGCAAATCGTTTTTGCAAGACCCCCCCCTCCGAATAATAGCTGCCCATTAGAACCAATTTCATTTTTACCCATTAAAGGTGTTTGTGGACCTTGAAGGAGATGTCAGGACTTTGAGCTCCATAGGGCTCAGAGAGCCTGTCTGCTCTCAGTCGTTTTTAAGATGAGTAACTGATCTTTTGCAAAATGTCTATTTCCTTTCCTGATGAGTGACATATCTGTAGCTCTCACAGGAAGCGTTTTTTGGTGTTTGAATATTCCTATAAAGCATATTATGACTAGGAGAGCTATTATTCTGCTGCTACTAATCAGCTGCTGTAATTGCTATGCTGTTTTTCAGAAACATATCACACTTCCAGTCTTGCAAGCAGTATAGGATCGGCTCGCTTGGCCATGTTTCCATGTCTACAAAAACTGCCCTGTGTACAGTCATGGCCCAGGGAAGCACCTTAATTTAAAGTGGTCACAGTCACTGTCAATGGTGTTCATCGCACTGTTTAGCCATTTTATAACCACCAAACCAGTTGTAAACAAGTTATCAGAAAATACCACATTACATGAAGAATTCTTATTCTGACATAATGTGTTAACTCTTTAGAATTCAAAAGAGTGAACTATTAAAATTAGGATTATTTCCGCTTGTTTCTTAAAATGTAAAGTGATGCAGCATGCATTTTCAGAATAATTTCTACTTAGCATGCATATGAGAGAGACCAACTCAATAAGGACTGGTGGAAGAAACCAATCCCTTGTTTAGCAGACACAAAAGCTTCCCCACAATTTTCACCCCACAAAAGCCACGCAGCTGAAGGTCCTTGTACCTGGTTCCCATCGATGGTGTAATCATACTTGGTGGCATACACTTTTCCTACAGATACCGCGATAGCATAAGCCACCACAGCGATGGAGAAGGACGCAGGCAGCATCTTCGAGAACAAGGACACAGATGGAATTGCAGGAGACAAAAACCTAGTGAGTTTTGAAATAAAAAAATGGTGTGAAGATTTGACCATAATTCTCTTTTCCCACCTCATCCAATGTTTGTCAAGCCAGTAATGACAGCATCTGCTTTTACACGTTTTAATCAGGAATCGGTGAAACTCACTGGCTGGTTTCTTTTTGTCTTCTCTGAGAGCCCACAGATGCTGCCTTGTCTACAACAAATAAATATGTTCCTTCTGGTTCTTTCCTATCATACAACCCCATGCCATTTCACACATTAGTGTTCTTCCTTATACAACTGCACCTAATTGAGAAGATAGCCAAGCCATAAAGTGAGATTTACCCTGTGTGAAAGAGGTGTCAGGTCTGTTTAAAGGACAAAAGCTATGTGAGATGGTGAAAGAGCTATGTGGAAAGTCCACATTTTAAGAGTCATGATATTTTAAATCTTTTTTTTTTAACTTTTTTTTTAAGATTTATTTATTTATTTATACAAGCACTGGGTACAGTCAGAAGTGCGGGAGGGTGAGAGAATTCACCAGAGCCAGAGTGGGGAACAGAACAGGCAGAAGGAGCAAGGTACACTGCTGAGGGGAGCAGCGGGCGGCAGGAGAGATCTGAGCGTCATGTGGGACCCTTGCCGGTGGCCGGGGATCGAACCAGCGCTGCAGAGGCTGCGGGTAGCTTCGCAGCCCAGCGCTCAACCGCTGCGCCACCAGGGGAGGCCCTATTTTAAATCTTCTTGAGTCCATAAACAGGTTAAATTTATGTCACCATCAGAATGTCCCGGAGTCGCAATGCTTACAATATGCTGTAGATCATGTGGTCAAATGATTAATGCTTGACAAAACCAGAGCTACTCCCTAAGTCACATAAAGAAATAAACCAACATGTTGCTTTCATCATGCAGTTGTTCCCCAATATGAAAAACCTGGGGGATGACCTTTATGTCCTTGATGACTATCCATATGGTATAATTCCTGAGATCCCTAGCTCCAAAATAAAAATATCCCCACCTACTTACTTATGCCTGAAGTTTTTAATAGGTAACCTCATTTCCCCCCTAATATCCTATTATCCTAACTAACACCCTAATCTAATATCTTAGGTATTATTGAATCTACCTCTCTTATTTTGTTGATAAGGGAAATGAGACTTGTGGGAGGTCACTAAGTAGGTCCAGTATGATTGTTTGATGATTTTCTAGCTATCAAGATCTGTCCACTTATCTCCCCATGTGGTCTTTTTCTCCCTATAGGTGAGGTCAATTTTCAGACTCCTTTTCTCCCACATCACATTCTTTTCTCCCATATCCCATCCCATGGCGGCTGGAGATTGGGTGTAATCTGCAGGCAGACAGGATGTTAGCAACCAGACCCAGCACTCCTGTGACTCAGATCACATCACCTTTGAGTCTGCAGGTAACCAGGGCCCTCACTTCTTAGAAACAGTGCTTCTGACCTGTTCGGAGCCCCATCAGCCCTATTTCAGGTAATGAGTTTGTCAGGATAATTTTCTAATACTGCGAAGAATTTAGTTCTGATAATAACCTACTGTGCCCTGCCTGCCTGGCTCCTAGTTCTCCAAATCCAGATCCTGATTCCCCAAGGTTACAAAGTATAAAGTACAAAGCCTGGAAATCAAAGGCTCAGAATATTGGCTCCATCACACAGTAACTTTAAGACTTTGGGCACATTATGTAAACTCACCAAGACCTAGTTTCTTCAACTGTTAAATGGGGATTACATACTCATTCAGGAAGGTTATTGGAAGGATTAGATGAGGTGCTACGTGTGTAAGCAATTAGAGCCTCTACACATAGGTACTCAGTAAAGGTTGGGAGAATCTAAATCTGCCAGGCTCCTGACATGCATCTGTATTGTCTTCCTGGATCTTAATGGTGCCAGTACTTGCCCTAAGCCACTCAACTTGGGGCCCTAGCTGGACACCTCCTGATGACATCTGAATAAGCTTTCCCCCTAGTTTCTGCCCTCCTTCAGTGGATATAACTCAGCAAGATTTATGCTCTGTGTCCCCGTTTGACTACAACCAACCTTCCCTACCTGCCCTGATCCTGCAGTAACACTATCAAAGGCTATGAGAGCATGAAGACACACTTTTCTGAAAAGATGATGGGGAGTGGAGAATTCCTAAAGGGCCAAAGATCATGCACAGGAGAGCCAGGCATGATAAAAATGATGGCAACTGTGCATTTTACATCAGTTTGGTCCTGAGCATTTGGCAAACGCACTCCAGCCAGAGGGTAAATTGGTCCTCACAAAGCAGTCAGAAAACCTCTGGGATTTCGTTGGCCTCTTCCTACACCCATGGTTCTCCCTGATGCCAAACTTTCAAGTACAAGTGCAGAACACATCACCCTAAAAACAACAGTGACAAATATGATGACAAGAGGACCTGTGGCACCAGGGAGGAGGACCAGACACCCGCGTGCTCAGAGACAAGGTAGGAGAGAGTTAGGATGAGGATTAAAACCTAGAGGGAAAAGCAGTCATCTTGTTGGTACAGTTAAAAGAAATGAGGTAAGGAAAGGCTAAGCTGTGGTGGGCGAGGAGCGGGACACATTAGGAGCTGCATGAGAGGGCCTCATGATGCAGTGGGTTGAGGGCAGTGCTGTGAAGCTGTCCGCAGCCTCTGAAGCACGGGTTCGATTGCTGGCCGGCCAGGGAGATTTCCCACATGGCGTGGCACACCTCTCCTGTTGTGCTCGCTGCTTCCCTCAGCAGTGTATTTTGACAGACTGCCTGTTCTGTTCCCTGCTCTGTCTCTGGTGAATCCTCTCATCCTCCCACGCCTCTGGCCTATACCCAGCTCTTGTATAAAATGAATAAATGAATGAATGAACAAATAAATAAATAAATAAATAAATATTTATTAAAAAAAAAAGAGCTGCAGAATAAAGAGCAGTTGCATGGGGAGAAAGGCAAATTGTCACTTGCCTCTTTCCATCTGCCACTGAAAAAAAAACAAACCCTAGTGAGTGTCTGAGAACTCCTGGTTTGGGTGAATCCTACTGGAAGATGCAGATACTGACTGGCAGGAAGAAATGGTTTATTTTGCCAGGAGAGAGAGTAGGAAAGAACAGCAGAGACTCAGTTCTTGGCTGTACCATGGCACACGCTTATTGAGTGCCAAGCAATCCTAGCAAAGGGTATTGACCCAAATAGGACAGGCGAGAACTTTTACTCCATTATTGGAGGCTGGAGGCAGGAGACAGAAAGGTAGACTAGCTACACTTTCCTTTTGTTCTTCCACTTTAACACACAACTTCCTATACTCTTTTCAATCTCCTTATACCACCCTTTCTTTTCAAGTTTATTAATGTCAAACTTGTTTTTACACTCCCAAGTGAGCCCAGACTCTGGAGGCTTGCTGGTTGCTTTCTTACACTGCTATAAGCTTCTGTGTTTTAATCTCTTCAACAAATACTTCCTGAAATCACACTATGGGATAGGTGTCATGCTGGGAAAGCAGAGCTGAATGACACAAATGGCTCCTGCCCTCAGGGAACCAGGCAGGTTAGCTTGGCTGACCCATCACTCCAAGTATCAGAGGATTCAAGAGCAAGAGGCTGGAGAGTCATTGTCAGGAGGACAGCAGCCAGGAAAGCTCTAGATATGACCAAGAAGATAACCTAGGGCAACAAAAATGAGTTTCCCAAATCAACTAATGGAATCTGAACTTAGGGGACAGGACATTTGCTATGGACCATCTCTAAATGTTTACATCTCAGGATGCCTGATAAAAAGGACACATAAAATATAGTTTTATATAGTTTATTACTACCCAAATAATCTAATTGGTAGAGTGAATATATCAGAACTCAAGTTTTTATTTTTATATTCCTCCTACTGTTAGAATTCACCATGAAAATGTTAGTTCTTTAATGAAGAGTTTCCCAAATTTACCTGGTCATAACAATTACTTGAAGCATCTTTAAAAAATATTAATTGCTAGGCCTCTACTCTAAAAGACTTGGGCTGTGAACCAGGAAATCTGTATTAACAAGGGCCTCCTGTGATGCTTACAAAAAGGGAAGTTGGAGAAACACTATAATAAATAAAATGTAAATGAAGTCCCAGGTAGCCTGTTGTCATTTTCCAAATATTTCTTGAACAAATATTAGAAGAAATCGTAAGACTAGTCAGGTGGAAAGACTGAAGTTCCTTGTGAAACAAGCACTGGAACTTAGCTAGACAGAGGAGTTACTATTAAGAAAATGCGGAACCAAAGACTGGTACAAGTTCTTCGGCTAGTTTTAAGGAAAGGGAAGCTAGTATTGACTGTGTAGCAGCAAATCTAGTCCAAAATGTTACATATCTAATAACCATCTGGGTTCTTTTCTAACCCTGTGAAATAAAATTATAGCACCAGACTCCTGGTATATACTCATGCATTTTATGAGAGATCTCATTGGTGTTTCACCAGCACAAGGTTTAGCAGTTGTCATTACCCTTGTTTTGTCAGACAATCCTCCCTTCCCAAGCCCACAGAACTAGACAGTGACAGAGATGGACAAAGGGTCTCACTGCTTTACTCTTCTAATTCCCCAGCTACTAAAAATATATAAAACTTCCCTTGAAAATAATGCATTTTATTTAAGAAACAACTTATATAATTATTATCTAAGATTGATTAAACTAAATGGTGGAAAATTTAGGCCAGATGTCCCTGATTCCTTTAGCAGATTGTTCTCAGTGCAATAAATGTGAGTAACCATGATTCTATTTATATGACATTATAATTATGCATATAAGTTTAAATCAGGAGTCTGGTGTTAACTGTACCTCTCCTGCCACATTTTAAGAAAATGAAGAAAAAAGAGAGATTGCTTCTAAACAAATGGCTTGAACTTTATCTGATAGTGAGCACAAATGAGTGTTTCTTTAAGATGGCACACAAATAAGACTATTGAAGGGACACCAATGAAATAAAATTTATAATAAAAGTTTTCATTTAAATAGAAAGTACTGGCTTAATTTGTTAGTATTGCCTAAGAGAATGCCATACTCACCCACTTGGGATGGATTTAACAATGCCAGCATTGTATTTTTTTTCCAGGTTGACTCCATATGAAATGGCAGTAGCAATTATTGTCTGAAATAAAACAAAAGATGTAAAAAAAAACAAAACAAAGCTCCATTTGTTTTAACAATTACTTTTTGTCAAACTAATGCTGAATATTTTACTTACCACAATTACTTCTATAGGAATAGGAACTGGGATTTTGTGTTTAAATCGATCATTTACTTCCTTAACTGCCATACAGATAATAATGGTGAGTATTCCAGCAGTGAAATCAGCAAGATTGGTGCTACCAATATTTGCAAAAATCTCAATAAGGGTCTGTAAAAAGAAAATAATTTCATATAGTCCTCATAGGAAAAATCATCATCAAACAGCACTTAGGAATTTCATATAAAATGTGTGACTAATTCAGAGACCATTTAATATATCCAGTCTCTTGCAGTGTGTGTGTGTGTGTACCAAGTTACTAATGAAAGTTAGCTTGGAGTGGTAAAACTATGGATGATTTCTATTTTCTTACCTATATTTTTTACCAAAAAATTAGATCATTTTTAAAAAATACATCATCATATACATTTTTTACTTGGAGAAAAGTTTTAAAAATTTATAGCTTAAAGTGGTTTTATAGGTGCTAGTATGTGGTCTAATTTTCACCCTATTGATATGGTATTATTGAGACTAAATGAAAAAGCCTCAATTAGTATTTTAGGAAAGCTAGTTCTTAAATAGGAAAGATATAGATGATAATAATAAATACTTAAAATACTTCATCTAGGGGCCTCCCTGGTGGCACAAGGGGTTAAGACACATCCTATGAGGCCAGCCGCAACCACTGCAGCATGAGTTCAATCCCTGGCTGGGGAGCTACCCACATGGTACAGCAGACCTCTCCTGACTCGCCTGCTGCACCCCTCAGCAGTGTATTTCAGTCAATCCACCTGTTCTGTTCCCCACTCTGTCTCTGGTGAATCCTCTCACCCCCCACAACTCTGGCCTGTACCTCAATTTTTGTATGTATAAATAAATAAATCTTAAAAAAATAAAATTTAAAAAAATAAAATAATTTATCTATACATAATACACTTGGACTGATCCTTTCCTTAGGGCAAAGAAAAATGATTGAGTTGATATATAAGATCAAGCATACATTTTTGGAAATTAATTTGATACTAAGTTTAAAATTAAACTAAGATGATATTAAAAATAACTATTTCCAAGTAGAGAGGCAAACCAGCTTAAGAAAAACTAGTTTTGTTTTACAAATAGATTTCTAGGAATCAAAGGAGATTAGCATGGGAAAATCCCAGGAAATAACACTAATATCTTTGTTTTATCAACTTCAGTTCAGTAGAGGGCATGACTTGAAAAGGTATTCCTCAATACTTGGACACAAAATATCAACCAGTGAATATTACTTTTTAAAAATTTGTCCATATATATATATATATATTATATGTTGAAAAAGGAGTGGAACATTTTATAATTTGCAATGTATTTATAGATCAATTATCCTTAAAATAAGTATAATGACAATCCAGTAACAACTGCATAAAATGGACATTAATATTCTAGGAGTCATTTAGCAAACAGCCTCAGCTCTTTGGGCAGCATTCAAGAGTAAGGAAATGAGGGGGAAAGTTAGTATACAAGGAAAATACATTCCACGAATGCTGAGTTAGAGTTCAAGCATTTGACTTGTAGGAAGGCTCTTGAACCTTCCCTCAGAGAGTATTTTCGCTTTTTTTTTTTTTTTCTTAAAAAAAATATTTATATTTATTTATGCGTACAAGAACTGGGGCATAAGGTGCAGGTGGTGAGAGGATTCACCAGAGACAGAGTGGGGAGCAAAACAGGCAGATCTACTGAATTACACTGCTGAGGGGAACAGCGGGTGAAACAGGAGAGGTCTGCTGCGACATGTGTGGGTTAGCTCCATGGCTGGGGATCGAACTCATTCGCACCAGCACAAGCTGGTGAGCTTGATAGTGCTGAGAATTACTTTAAATCCAGTACTAACAAGTTTACTTGTCTATTTTTAGAGTCATATATTGCTAAATCCATATACTTTGATGCAAGTGACAGCAGAGTGAAAAGTGAAAAATGGAAAAACTACCAAACTCAGACATTATAACTCAAGAACTTAGGACATTTGACATAGAAACAAACAACCCTATATATCTGAATTTTGAAGGGATTGCAGTCTGGCCCTTTCCAGAAACAACTCTCTGATGACACTTATTCATTCATGAGCTAAATATAATATTTCAATGAATCATATATACAATAAAGGTTTAGTTTCAACTCAAGTTGGGAAAATCTAGACTTAAAAACAAACCATTGGAATGATTATAACAATTAAAAATATTTATCTTATAAAAGTGATCACTACAGGCAGGATTCCCATTTAACCTCTGAGAGTCACTTTGACCTTTGGGAAAAAATCACCTCTGGTGTAATAAAAATGTAATATGAGTGGCGAAAACTAAAATCAATTTGTTACACAATGCATCCCCAGCATATGCATATGTACTGTTGTCTATATTTTGTATGATCATTTGGGAACTCTTATGAGAAGTTCTACAACACCACGTTGAACCTATGTGAACAAAGAAAACTCACCCATATAAACTGAAGTTGTCAGACCATACTCAAAGTTATAGAAATGAGACTCCAAGAAGACACTGCAAAGTGATTCTAATTTAAAATATTTACTAAAATATGTTTAAAATATGTATGTGCATATGACTCTATATCTCAGCCTAGTGTTTTGAATAGTCCAAATTATGATAATGAGATTTTATTCAGTCAGGGGAAACATTTTACTTTATTTCCTACCATGCTTAGAGAATTTTAGAAACATTTTGCTGAGATCATTTTTTTCTTTCATGCCCAGTATGGATATATGAAGCCCAAGAGGAAAAAAATATATACCTGATATTATGTATGAGGAAATTTATTGTTTTTTCTTCTCTCCCCCCAACATTTCCTCCTATTCTTTGTATCCTTTATTTCCTTTGGGGAGGGAGGGAGAGAGGGATGAGGGAGACAATTCAAAGTACAACCTTCTAACAAAAGGGATGTTAACTACATTCCAAGGAAAGCATCTTACAACAATCTTGCAGTCTTTCATGGAGGTATCCACTACCTCTCTGCATCTGTCGAAGGATTCTTTCATGAATGATTGCAACAGATAATATCACAAGCAAAATTCCCTGTTCAGGTACTGAGTGACTCACTCAACCCTTCCTCAATCATATCCAGACTTGTTGATTCCTTCTTTTCAGAACAGCAAGCTTATATTCACCATCACATAGGGATGACTGAAATCATAATTTAAGAATAATTCTCAATAGGACATCAGTCAAGTCACATAATGATTCTGTTTGGTTTTAAAAACTATTTTTGACCTTGTCTAGTGTTTCCTGCTCTCTTTTGTCCCTGGGAAAGATGGGATCATATGCACCAAGCTTATCTTAAACATAGTGCTAAGAAACCACAACTATTTTAGACCCCTGTCTGCTGAGATCCTATAGCAATGACCTACACCAATCTGTGTGGATGTAGGCCGAGCAATGCGCATGCAAGGCGGTGGACACACTCATCAAGGGATGTCTTGGTGGATTCAGAAGTCATTGAATTTTTAAGGAAGTGACCGGTGCCTGGCACATGGTCCAAAGTCAATAGATAATCAGTGAATTGATGAATTGAATGAACAACAATGGAGGAATAAAAGAATGAACTGCAGACAGGGAAAGTATGAAAGCAATATAAAGCAAGATGTATCAGGGGCTGCAAAAGTGAGAGAGTCTATCAGAAAAAGGTAGTCCAAAGGTTTCAAAGTGAGCAAAGGAAAAAAACAGCAATGACAAACACAGTGCTGAGTCAACAAAAGCCTGGGTTAAGGTCTTCCACAGACTGCGTCCCTGGGACATGAACAGTATGTTCCATGAATCGTTTCTCATAATAAGGAAGATAATAAACTGAGTTCTTACTTTGTGTTAGATATTGTGCTAACTGCTTTACACCAGTTTTCTTTTTTAATCCTTACAACTCTTAGAGGTAGCTGCTATTATTACTCCTCATTTTACAATTGAGAACACTGAGGCTTAGGGAAGTTATATAATAGCCCCAAATCACATAGGTGGTAAGGAGTGAAAATAAGACCCCTACTCATGTCTATTGACGTTCAAAGCCCATGATCTTAGTCACTATGCTATACCGCCTCTTTCACCTATTCCCCCAACTAAAGCAAAATACCTAGCTTGTAATTAGGCACTCAGTAATATTTGTTGAATGGATGGAGTAACGTGGGATTATGGCACTGTTGTGAAATTGACCAAATGCATGATCACCTCACTAATTGCATGACCTTACACTGTTTTAGGTTTAAAAGACTCTAATGCCACTGTTAATGCTGGCACATTATTTTTGCATAGTATCATTTTCCCCAAACTGGGGTGACATCATGTTACTATTATCACCATTTTTTAAGCATCAACAACATGCTTTATATAGAACATTTATTTAGATGCAAGAACTTTTTCAAATCTAATTAGTGTGATCTACATCCTTCTTTTGCATCTCTTTTGCATGTTGAATCATCTCTGAATCTAATGTTCCCTTTCATCTATAATTGCTCAGACATTTACATTATGCATTTGATGGACTCAGAGTTAGAAGGGAGCTACATTTCCAATCATTTCATTTTACAAATAGAAAAGAAGCCTTGAGATGCGAAATAATAATTTCAAAATAACTACTTTTTTTGAGTACTTGTCATATGCCAAACTCTGGTCCAAGTGCTTCCTATCTATCCTCATTTAACTTATTTGATAGATACTATCACCAACTCCATTTTGCAGAAGGAAACCAAAGCATGGTGATTTGCTCAAATGGCCAATAAATAGTAGAATCAGGACCTAAATCTAGGTCATCCAGGTCCATCTTGCTCTTTCAGCCACTATTTTACATAATGTGCCTAAGTTCATTTAGTTTGACAGAGGCAAAGTTGAGACTAGAACTCAACTCTGTTATAGTCAAGACCAGATTTCACTGGACTTTGTTTTCATTAATACTTTTAAATAGAGTGACACTTCTGAATCCACTGGACCAGTTGAGAACAATGATTTGCGAAATCTGCCTTCTTAGATGTTAGTTCTGATGTATTTGCTTCTTTCAGAGAAAGTTTTCAACGGCTCCCAAAAAATACAACTACATGAAAATCTAAGCTCTCCAGACTCAGGTTAAGAAGGAAAAGAATTCATTTTCCTTAGTAAGCATTCTTGGGGAAGGAAGCAACACTTACATAGATAATGGAGAGAACTCCATTATAGTTTTGGGTTGAAACATTGAGGACAATCTTTAGCTGTGAGACCAGCACTTGGAAGGCAGCAGCTGTTGTGAATCCACCAACCAAAGGATCTGCCAAGTACCTCACTATAAATCCAATCTGCAATCCTCCAAAGATCAACTAGAACAAGAAGAAAGAAGGGGAAATGAAAAGTCTGCCTGGGAAAAGAACCAACTCTCTTGAAATATTAATCAGTTAAATTTAACACCAATTTAAGCTCTGGTAATCTGCCTATACCATAACAACTCGTAGAAGATACATGTGATTTCTCTAATACACTATCTCACTCCTCTACCACTCTAAAATTTAAAAACCATATTTAATGGTTTTCCCTTATTTCATCATTTCAAGGTATTTTACAATACCTGGAAGTATCCTAGATTATGTACTAAGAAAAGCAAATATCATGTGGATCATTTCTATGATGTTCTGATCCCATGGTTCAGCTCACCAGAATATATTTTTCTCCTTTATGGGTTCTTCCCTCATCCTCATTTGAATCACACATGTTTTTCTCCCTTTTTTTTCCCTGTCTCTGACTCATGACAAATGAGTCTTAATAAGGAGGGTCAAGCTGACTATATTAGCATCTGATCTAAAATAATATAATTTTGAAAATAACTTTTGGGCCCAGGAAATTGCTTTGTTTTCCTTTTCAATGAATCATTGAGCAAACAGGATTTTCAGTGAGGTTATTTCAAGTAAAAATCACACCAATCCATATTTTACCTATAAGTCCATTACCTGTATGACTCCAACCAAAACAGTCAGTGTGCTGGCAATTACAACTCGGGCTGCTTCTCTAGCCGCAAAGTCTATGGTGGTAGCATTCAATGCTGTTCCATTGCTGCTGGATATGACAAAGTCTTCATCGGGGGCCAAACTCAGAACAACCGATCCCACCATTAAACTGACCACTGGGAAAGGTCCTGGGGGGAAAGTTTCTATCAATTAATAATTACTCATCACAAAGGTTTAGGTTTGTATCTACATAGAATTAGAAAGATGTGTGGAATGCTTAGGTGTGATTAGGAAATACATTGTTTATTCCCCGGAGACTCTAAAACATGAATGTTTCACGGCGTTTGTGACTCCAAAATGGAATAAGAGAACCATGTAGGTAGACAATTATAATACAGCATTCAGGATGCTTTGTGAGTACACAGGAAGGTTATCTAATCTATCTTCATGTTATCTTCACACATATGGGTTTCGGGGAGGGATAGCAGGGGGTGGTTGTCAGGGAAGGTTTCCTGGTGGAGGTGGCACACAATCTGTGTCTTCACTTGATCCATCTTGTTTTATTTCACATACACTCGTTTCCTAGAACATCCAATATCTTAATGTCTATGTAAATAAATGCTTTGATCAATATCACGGTGTTCAAATTAAGATAAAGAAATTGCGAAGAAAATGTATAGTTTCTTTTTCTCTGTAAGATTCTAGGTTTAAAAAGTAGTCCTCTGCTTCCAACAACTACTCTGCTCACGTATGTTTTTTTATCCATCATGATAATGATTCTATTCTTTGGTCATGGAAGTTTTTTTGGTTGAGAAGACTTAGTACCAAAATCCAGTAACCTGCAGTGTCTCAATGTATAGAATAGCAATCAGCTTCTATGTTCCTGACTTTTCCAAGCATTGGATAGTAGGAAGTCCTTTCAATCAATAACCTCTCTTTGGTTGCCTTCTAATGACACAGCAATACGCTAGATACTAAGGGAGATACAAGTAAGGACAAGGGTTGGGGATAGAGTAGATGACTGTATTTGTTTCAAGAGGATTGTCCAGGTAAACACGTCTAGCCAGCAGATGGATGTAGGCGCAAAATTATCTCTAGTATAAATGTCAAAGTCACAAAATAGCATTAAAACATTCACTTGCTAGAACATTCTAGCAAAAGAGAATTCAAATTTTAAGAAAGACAGGAAATAAACCTATTTTGAGCCATACCAAGAAACAAAGCCAAGCTTACTGTCTAAATTGTTTTGGCAGGATTTTGCCAGCCTTCCAATATTAGTGACTTAAAATAAGTGTGTTCTTTAATGAAATAATGAATATGTATTTGATTAACATAATTCAGTAAAATGCTGTTAGTCTAGTAAGACAGTACCTTCAAAGACCTCTTGAAGATTTTCTTCCAATGTCCCTTTTTATTTTGGAAGAGAACACTTTTTCTAAATATGGAGTCAAATTACATTAAAAAAAATCAAAACATGCTAAAATTTGAAGGTAGGCCATAATTTAAAAATCTTCCCATTTTTTTCTGCTTCTTAAAAAAATTTAAGTATAAAGCTAAGTAATGGCATAGTATTTTAAAAGCTGAAAAGAACCATTGCATCATTGAATAGAAGAAGCAGGCAAAGGACTGAGGCCTGATTTCCTTGGAAGACATTAACCAAGATATAAAAGCATAATTCACATAAGCCAAAACATATTAAACATGAATAAACACAATAATTACCAACGGAGATGTGTCTTGATGTTCCAAAGAAAAAGTATGTCAGGATAGGGAAAAAGGCAGAATAGAGACCAAATCCCACAGGAACTGCTGCTAGCAGAGCATACGCCATGCCTGAAAATACATCGAGAATGATGAAACTCACAAACAAGTCACGGTATCTTTCCAGTGTGCAAACAAAGACCTTTTAGTACATATTTTCAGTTCGCAGCTTGTCCTGAGCGGCTCTGCTAAGATGTAGAATATGATCCCAATCAGGTGGGGTAGTGATTGCATCTACACGCATCATCTGCTCAAATGAATTGACTCAGTTGATCCGTAAGTCAATCATCTGCTGATCAGACAAGTGGAAAAATGTCAAGGCAGTTGCTGATTAAAAATTTCGTAAGTTCCTGAGGGTGAAAGGTGGGGCCAGAACAAAGCGGGAGGGAGCACCAGGGACCGTGGTGGGAGTATGGTGGGTGCTCTGATGGTGGATGAGATATATGGCAACAATGCCTCAAAGTGTGGGGGGTTGAAAGAACCTACACTTCTAACATAAGCAACGACGTAAACCAATGTTACCTCAATAAAAGTTAAAGAAAAACATTTCGTCAGTTCAGACCAGAGGCTCAGACCAGTTTTGTGCAATGACAGTTCCGTCTGGCTTGTTTCTTTATGTTCTAAGGAACACCGTCATTCCTGAATTGCCTTTCTCCTTGGGCAAGAGACATTAGATTCAAACAAAAAAGTATATGTGGGGCCTCCCCGGTGGCGCAAGGGGTTAAGCAGCGCACTATGAAGCTGTCCGCAGTCTCTGCAGCACAAGTTCGATCCCCGGCCAGCCAGGGAGAAACCCACATGGCATAGCAGACCTCTCCTGTCTTGCCCGCTGCTCCCCTCAGCAGTTTCAGTCCATCTGCCTGTTCTGCTTCCCACTCTGTCTCTGGTGAGTCCTCTCATCCCCTGCGCCTCTGGCCTGTACCCCAGTTCTTATATGCATAAATGGATGAATCTTTAAACAAAAAAAAAGAGAGTGTGAAAATCCAGCCCTTTGACCCTTGCATCATTAATAAAGGATCACATTTATAACAGTTAAAAAAAATCTGGCAACAACCTAATTATAGTGGCCACAGGTGCCCCAAATTATTTACTGAATGAATGTCTCAAAAGAGAAAAGGTTAACTAAATTTTACTTTATACCTTGTGATTCTGTAAAATAAATTGATGTCATGGATAGAAGTATGTTTACTAATTTGGACAGATCTGAGGTAAAAGGGAAAAAGTGAGAAAAAGAATCCAAAATCGTGGTAAGTATACACATTCTTACTTTCATAAAAAATAAATATATGTATTGCATGCATAAAAATTTGGAAAGAGTTTTCATATAAGTCAGATATATAAGAAACTAAATATAGTAAATGCCCCATGTATCTATGTTGTACAACCATCCCAGGCTGGGTAGGCTCACCATGGGTTCTAACAGTTTAAAACAGAACTTGGGAGCCCTTGGCGTCTGCTTCCCAGGTTTAGTGGTGCACAGAGGAAACAAGCCAGCAGGGAGATAGCAGCTTGAGCCCCCTCTCAGGGTGACGCTGCCTTTTATCCCCTCCCGCCTGGACACAGGTGTGCACACTTGCACATGCGCATACACCCATGCTTAGGTATCCACAATCAGGCACGTGTGCCCTACACCAATGCGCCCTCTGCGTTAACATAATCAAGACCATGGGTGGTACCACAGAGGCTAGTGGTGAAAAAAGCCTGATTAAATAACTTCTCCTACAATCCACCCTCCAGTTAACAAAATAGAATGCCAGCGCAGTTGAAACTCTCTGTATACTCTTCCTAAGTCGCATCCTCTTTCTTCCTTCCATTCTCAGAAGGCAATTGCTATCCTAAATCTATAGTTGGTCATCCACAGACATTTCTTTATATTTTTATGAAGATATGCATTTATGTCTCTAGTAGGGTATTTGCTAAGAAATTAATGGGGTAAGTAAATGATAATCAGCCTTTTCTGCCCTCCCGCCATTAGGATGGATGAGGGATCCCTGTGGTCCCGAATGCATGCCTGATGGCGGACACCTGGAATAGGTGTGGCAAGCGGAAGTGGGTACACCTGGGCTAAGACTGGGCTTATAAGGGCGGCGTCATGGGGACGCCAGCAGAAGCAGAACCACGAGAGAGGAGAGCAGAGAAGAATCATGAGAGCAGAAGAGAAGCAGAGATCACCAGAGAATGCCGGGGGGCCCACAAAGAGTGAAGACTTGCTGGGGGCTGCAAGGCCTGCCAGCCTCCCGGCCCCCAGCACCCCTTGCCAGTCGTGTGCCTGGTAAATCCCAATAAAAGCCTGAAAAGCCACCGAGGGCTCCAGGACTCCTCCTTTACCCTGTCAGCTCGAATCATAGAGATCCTGCTCCATGTCCTCCTGCCCCTACAATGGGTTATCTATATGGCAAGATAAAAGGTGATGTCTAGTTTGCACAGGAAGTATTTTTTTCATGTTCCTTATATGTAGTTTCAAGTTTTCTACAATGAGTATGCATTTATTCATTCATTTAACAACTATTGATTATGTTCCATGAATTATTCTAGGTTGGAAGAATACAGGAGTGAACAAAACGAAGTCTCTGCCCTGACAGAGTTTGCAGTCTAGAAAAATATGTATTAGTAACACAATTGTTTTAATATATCAATTACAAGGAACTGCAATAATCAGTGTTTCCAGAATACAGAATGGGAAGATGACTCACAAAGATAAGTTAAGAAAAATAAAGGAGTAGAGAATGAAAGCACACCTATTTTCCATACACTTTTTTCAAACTTCCACATCCCTAACCTGGGATCTGCAGTACTTAGAGCCATGGAAAATGGGGACTTTTCCAGTTTTCACACCATGTCCTACTTAAGGACAATTGCTACTGAAATATATGTAATCACCTTTACTTTAAAGGAACTTTGTTATAACTTTTTAAATTATACAATTTGCAAAGAAATCTAAGCCATTGGTTTGAATCACGGAACCTCTGTGTTGATATCTTTAATGTGTAGGGTGGTGACATATGCTGATAAAGTTGGTGCTAATAAACATTTGGAAGTATCTAGAAGGCAAAAGTGGAGAGCAGGCTCCCCATAACTGTGAATAAAAAAATAGCACTGAAGAGCTGCGCTTATCTTTTGCTGTGTGATGAAATTTTTTTTAATAATAAGAGTCACAAAAATTCCAATTTCCTTAGCAGCAACCAATTTCACAGTGACTTGAGCCTGTCTTCTCTGTTCAGTTCCACCCCTAACTCCATAGCTGCCCAATCAGTGGTTATAACACAGACTATGCCATCACTAAAATTCCAGGACTGCCTCTAAAATCTCTATTTTGGGCTTTCTTCTCTCAACCACAGCCCCTTAGTCTTTTAGCTCACCTCCTCTGGAATCCTTACTAGAACATTCTTTGTCCTCAGGAGGCTTCTAATCCACTAGCCAATCCACTTTCTTCTGTCTCCAGTCTTCCTTGCTTCCTTATCCTTGGAATTACACAAATGTTCTAAACTCCCTTGATTCTCTCTCTCCTCTTTTCTTGTCTGGCAAAACCCTCATCTGGCAGAACCCAAACATCCATCATTTCCATTACAGCATCTGAGCTGGTCTATAACATGAAGGAGGATCATCCACATTGGGACTGACAAGTTTCATGTAAAATTCATGACCAGGAGCCCCAGCTGGACTCTGCATGTCAGTCCAATTACATTTTCTCATAAGTATGATTTTCTTTCTCTGACACAACTCAAACTTCCCCTGCTCTCCTCAAATTATGCATATTCCTTCTCTACACAGACCAGATTTAAAAAAAAAAGAATCTTAGACTTCATCCAAAAATAGAAGAGATGCCCCTGATTTGTTTGTTCACCAACATTTCAAACCTCTCTATACACCATTTTGTCTGTCTTTCTTCCTTTGAAAATGGAAGAAATATCCCTCCTGCTTAAGGAGCAACCCTTCCATTTCTGACCTTGAACCTATGCATCTGGGCTCCTTCTCACAACCTTTAGTTGCTTCTCCACCTCTTGGACCACAAATCTATTTTCTACTAGATAATTCCCATTAGTACACAAATATGTTCCAGTATCTCCTATATGTACAGCAGTCAACCTTCATCCCTTATCTTCCCCCAGTTACAGCCATTTTCTATACTTCCTCATAGCAAGCCTAAAAGTATTGCCTGTATTCCATCACTGCGCGCTCCCCTTCAAGAGAATTTGACACTATTGGTCCCTCCATCCTTTTTATTTTTATATATTTTTTAAAGATTTATTTTTACTTATACAAGAACTGGGGTACAGATCAGAGGTGTGGAACGGTGAGAGAATTCACCAGAGACAGAGCGGGGAGCAGAACAGGCAGATGGACCGAAGACACTACTGAGGGGAGCAGTGGGCAAGGCAGGAGAGGTCTGCCACACCATGTGGGTTTCTCCCTGGCTGGCTGGGAATCGAACCGGTGCTGCAGAGCCTGCAGACAGCTTCACAACATGGTGCTCAACCCGCTGCGCCGCCAGGAAGGCCTTCCATCCTTTTTAAAAAATACCTCTCCACTTCTGATGCCTCATCTCTCCAATTGCTCTTTTGCTCTAATTTCCAGAGCCCACTATCAGGTGACAGTTCACCTTGGGGTTTCTGTATGGCCCCCTCACCTCCCAGATCTCTAAGTACTCCAGCTCTTGCCTGCCTGGCTGCCCTTCCTGCTGAGGAAAGCACAGGCATTCCACTGCTTTGCAAAGCCCCTACACAGAAAGCTTCCTTACCTCAAAGCTCTCTCTGTCCCAGACCTCTATCTGACATTCACATTTGTGGTAGCTCCACCTCAACTTTTGGCATCACTACTCAGATGTCTCACACACACCTCAGACTTAGCATGTTCAAAATGAAATACTTGGTTACCATCCCAAACCTGTTCCTCAGCTAGTCTTTGTCTTTGTAATAAATAATATAACTAGTTGCTCAAGCCAAAACCCTCAGAGTCATCTGTGATTTTCATCTACAGTATGCTATCAGTATGGATCAGCGATGCTTGCTCCAAAATTTACCTCTGCAGACCTCCCTACCTCCTGTTGGATCTGGTTCAAACTGATAACCTGTCCTCAGGCCTGGGACTTAGGTGAGGCATGTGAGGTGCCTAGAGCCCTGCTAGCTCTATCTGTTTGTCTCCCCTCCCTTTGCTGCTCCCCACCCACAATGGAATTCCTCCCATTCCACCATAAACACTCTAACCTTTTCTTCTCCTCAGGGTCCTTGCACTTTTAGTGTGGTCTCTTGTCTGTTCATTATGTGGCTGTCTCCTCGTCCTTTGGTCTCTAACAAAATTTCACTCTTCCTTGATCATTCTATCTAAAACTGACCCTCCCTCCCCAAATGAATCCCTGTTATAGCATGTTTGATTCACTACAATGAATACCACAATCTGTAAATATCTATTTTTTTATTTAATTCCACTGTCCACCCTTGAAATGAACTCCATGAAACCAGTACCTGTGCCTGTCAATTAACTGCTGAATCCCCATAACTAACGGCTGACAAACAGAGCTGCTCTATAAATATTTTTAAAACAATGACAGATGATGAATGAGTATATGAATGAGCCTGGTTAATCTTCCAGAAATTCACCTTACAGAAATGTATTAAAGATATAAAGATATCATGCAGATAATTTTTCGGGAAAACATATTACTCATAAAGTAAGGAGCTACATGGTGTATAAATTAAGATCCTAGGATTTAGACTCTGGGTTCAAATTCCATCTCTGCTACCAGCTCCATGACCTTGGGCAATATTTAATAGACTTTATTGAAATGGATATAATAGTTGTTGTGAGGATTAAATGAGATAAAAGTCCAAAGTCATGAGCATAGTGTCTGATATTTCATAAACAAGACTAAAATTAAAATTATTTCTTCTAAGATATTTATCCATGAAATCTTGGGAGACATAGAGCTTGAATTTTTTCATATGTAAAGATGATTCATTATCAGGCAGCAACTCAATCCTTTTCACTAAATGTTTATGGGACCATCTATTTTGTGCCAAACTCTGGGCTAGGCATGAGCTAAACAAACATGAACTAGATACTTCCACTAGGAGTGTCACCAGGAGTCACAGAGTGTTGCCACATCAAAGCTGAGAGCTCCATGTGCACACGGATACTTGCATCATTTAATTTATGAACTTCACAGTCCTACCCACCTCTCTCATCCTTCTTTGTGATAGAAAACATGGCAGATCGGGCTGATGTTCAACATGGGGGTCATATAGCACCTTCCTCTGGGTAATCTCGCTAACTTGCTCTGAATAATCTTGAGAACTCCATAAGCAAATTTTGCCATTTCTCAACAATTACTACTAACTTCTGAAATAGTCTATTTCAGGCTATCTTTCTACATATATTCCCACCACACCCTAACCTACAGAGAAACTCAGTTTTGATACCTCAACCTCCAGCTAATGATTTCTAATACCCTACAGCTGGGTTGAGTCCTGCTTAAACTCCTTTACCAAGCTATGCTACCCTTGCCACCACTGTTATGTTGAATTATTATTATCTAGTTCCTCTGTTGAATTACAAGTGCTTTGAAAGCAGGTAGTGTACCTTATGTCAACATACCTAGAGCCTGACATACCAGGTGCTACATAAAATTATAGTAAATTTAATGATTTTTCTGTTTTCCTGGTCCAGAGGCTTTGTGGAGTCAGAGGAGGAGGAGAAACAAGGTGACAGGCAGAGGAGAATGCCCATATTGCTATTCACCAATGGTGTAACGAATTTCCAAGATTCTTATGAAATGTGGCATAAAACCAGCTAAAAAAAAAACCACCAATGATGGGACATCTTGCCAGAAGATTAAAATAAGGGAATGGATAAGAGAAGGAGCAGAAAAAATACTTAGGTGTAGTCCAGGTTCAAGTACTTTTTGCAGTTGCCCATAAGTCAGTTTCAAGCTATAGATCAAGATCATGCATGGATGTAAAGTATTTTAGGACTACAATCATAATTGAAATGTATAAATAGGAAAGAATAGAATAGAATAGTAAATATCAGAATGTATCTCTTATAGTGAGGATAAACATTAGTTCACAAAACATAAAATATGTATTTACAGAGTATGGTGCAATACACATTTGTCACTGTGAATTGTGATCAGTTAAAGTTGGGAAGCCAGTGGTAAGACGATAGGGCTCTAATTGGAGACAGGTATCTAGAGAAGAGCAGGGCTTATTGGGAAGAGAAGGCTAAGGAGGAGGAACAAAAAGGTTAATCTCTCCACATGAGGCTGTGGAGAAAAGATGAAGGCCTTGGAGTGTGAGCAAGCATTTAGTGTAGACTGACAGGAGGCCGGGGGAGTTAAGAACTGCGATTGGAAACTGTGACTCTCAATCACTTGGGAGCCAATTCACCAATATCTTACCTTGCAGCGTACCCACTAGCCCAGTACTAACTCCCGAAATGATGTCACTAAGCAGCCATTCCTTGACTCGGTATTTGGGGAGCCAGTCCAAGATGGGCAGGAGAGTCTTCAACACACCAATGGCTTTCCTTCTTGAGCAACTGTCAAAAGGCAAGAGAACTGGGTTTCCAATCCAGGCTCGTTCACAACCATACACAGATTACGAATGTTTGAGCTAAATTCTGCTAATGCTTGTAACTATTTAGAAAAAAAAGAATTGCATAGAAAATGCTAACTCTAAAGTGCTTACTATGCTTTTGCCAAGAACTCTATCTACTCTACAAAATGCACTGTACTAGAAAACACAGGATTAAGTGTTCCCTTCCCTCTCCCACCTTTTTAATCCTCTGAGAAAATATCCCTACACAAGAACTCATTTTCTGGTCCAGCCACAGATTGATCAATGTGGAGACTCTAAATGGAGATTAATTTTCAGACTTCTAACCCAGGCGCCTTCTTCTACTTCTTCTCTTTTTCTTTAAAGAAAAACAAACATGTTCTGTATATTTTGGCAATACAAACTGCTTGGAGCCAGTTTTTACAAAAATCTTAAAACCATGAATGTATACCTTGTTGTACTTTGCTACTTAATATTTTATTTAATTTAATAACCTATAGATTAAAAAATATATGTAGTAGGTGGACATTATTTGAATCCTCATTCAAATAAATTCTTTTAAATTATATTAACGAAGGCATTGGACATTTTACTGTTCATTCAATTTTTGACATAAAGGATTAACTTTATGGTCATAAATAATGAAAATGATACACTATATGAGATTTGCTTTAAAAAATAGTGGAGCAGGACAACTAGATTGCGATAAATTAAACAAGACTTACTTTGAGACTATGCATTGGAGCAAAGAAAGTTTGTTCAATAGATGGTGCTGGGAAAACTGGGTCGCTACATGCAAAAGAATGAAGCTTGACCACTACCTCACACCATACACAAAAATCAACTCAAAATGGATTAAAGAACTAGACATAAGACCTGAAACCATAAAATACATAGAAGGAAATATAGGCGAAACACTACGGGATTTGCACATCAAAGACATCTTTACAGACACATCACCCAAAGCAGTGATAGTGAAGAGAAAGATAAACAGCTGGGACTACATCAAATTAAAGAGCTTCTGCACAGCAAAAGAGACAATAACAAAAACAAAGAGAAACCCCACCAACTGGGAGAACATTTTTGCACCCAACACTAATGATAAAGGACTGATCACAAAAATCTGCAAAGAGCTGATGAGACTCAGCAACAACAAAGAAAATAATCCAGTCAAAAAATGGGCAGAAGAGCTAAAAAGAAACTTCTCTGAAGAGGAAATGCAAATGGCCAACAGACATATGAAAAAATGTTCAACATCACTTGTCATCAGGGAAATGCAAATCAAAACTACCATGAGATACCATCTCACACCAGTGAGAATGGCACATATTAAAAAAACTAGCAACAACAAATGTTGGCGAGGATGTGGAGAAAAAGGAACTCTTCTGCACTGTTGGTGGGAGTGCAAACTGGTCCAACCACTATGGAGAGCTGTGTGGAGATTTCTGGACCTACTAAACATAGAGCTTCCATATGATCCAGCAATTCCACTCCTAGGTATTTACCCAAAGGACACAGAAACATCAATTCCAAAGAGCACCTGCACCCCTATGTTTATAGCAGCACTGTTTACAATAGCTAAGCTTTGGAAACAACCCAAATGCCCAAAAATAGATGACTGGATCAAGAAGATGTGGTACATATACACCATGGAATATTACTCAGCATTCAAAAAAGATAAACACATGCAATTTGCAGCAACATGGATGGCACTGGAAGGGATCATGCTCAGCGAAATAAGCCAAAAAGAAAAAGAAAAATACCGGATGGTCTCACTCATAGCAGGAATCTAGAAAACTTAAATAAGGGACCAGGAAAATGAATATAAGAAAGTGAAAATCAAAATCAACAAAAACTATGAACCAGAGACACTTTTTGGGGGGTGGCGGGCGGGAGGGGAAGGATTGGGGTCAGAATGGGGCGTTTGCAATTGTATGGGGGAATATAAAAATAAAATTTAATATTTGAAAAAAAAAAAAAAAAAAGAAATAATTTCTTTTTATCTTGTTCTAAAGATAAACTAAAAAAAAAAAAAAAAAAAAGACTTACTTTGAGTAGGTCTTTGCTGAAGTTGGGTGATGGACAAAAACATGGTGGGGGAGGGTTCATTGTATTACTGTGTGTACTTTTGCATAGTATTAGAAATGTTCTATGGTAGAAAGTTGTTGTTTTAAGAAAGAAAATCGGGCAAAACTTGCAGTTCTCGGGCCTCCCTGGTGCTGCAGCGGTTGAGCGCTGGGTTGCGAAGCTACCCACAGCCTCTGCAGCGCTGGTTCGATCCCCGGCTGCTCCCCGGCCACCGGAGGAGGGTCCCACATGGCGCGCAGACCTCTCCTGCCGCCCGCTGCTCCCTCAGCAGTGTACTTCGGTCCTTCTGCCTGCTCTGCCCCCCGCTCTGGCTCTGGTGAATTCTCTCACCCTCCCGCGCTTCTGACTGTACCCAATGCTTGTATAAATAAATAAATAAATAAATAAATCTTAAAAAAAAAACCAAACTTGCAGTTCTCTAGTTCTTTTGGCTGTGGTATCTAAGTCCCCCCTAGTATTCCCACTGTCTAGGAAGAAAGAACGCGGAGCACACTACACCCCTGAGTTCTAGCTTGCCGTCTGCATCTCTGTGACCTGTCTAGACGAGCTCCGGGTTTTCAAAGACTTCTGATCCGGTGATGGATTTACCCATCACCTTTTTAATCGAGTCCCTTCCTTCCCCACTTTCCTTTGCCTGGCCTTCCCTAGACGGCAGCAGAAACCCACTCTGCAAGACGCACTCCGGCTTTCCTAAGGACAGGAACAAAACCAGATGGGATTCCCAGAACACCCTCTCCCCAAAGATGAGACTAGAATAACTTCGTCCCGAGGAAACTTGGAGCCACCCCCGGGGTAGGAAGGACAGCGCTGGGGATTGCGGAGCCGGGAGTCCTGCTTGGCTGGAAGTCCCAGCGGCCCCGCCCGGCCCGCCCGGCGCGCTCCCAGACGGCGGGTTCCACTACTCCCGGCGCGCGACCAGGGCGGCCGCTACCTGCAGCCTTTGGACAGACGATCCCTCAGCGTCTTGCGCTCCTGCAGGCGCTGCTCGTATTGCTGCTGGAAGGCCAGCTCGCTGTAGACAGGACGCGACACCACGTAGTCGCAGCTGTACTCGTGGTGCGGCGCTTCGGTCCTACCGCCCGGCGCTGCCATGACCTGAGAGGCGGAGGACAGCGAAAAGGTCGGAGATGGAGCGAGGGAAGAGAAAAGAAGAGACAGAAAGAGGCGAACGCTCCTTCGCTGCTTTCTGGCCCCACCTGTTGCAGTGGATCTCCGAGAGCCTGGTCTGCGCGCGGCGTCCCTTGGCGCCCGGGACGCACCGCCTCGGGGCGCGCACCAGCCTGCTCCCGGAGCTCTGGGGGCCTTCAGGTCTGGTAAACCTGCACTTGTTGCCCCCGCCGGTCCCGGACTCGGAAGGGAGTGAGCGCCGCGTTGGGGGCTTCTGGAGCTTGACCCAGTCCCCTCTGGCCGGCGGACAGGGCGCTGTCCGCGTTCTGAAACCTGCCCAAATCCTGCCGGGGGCGCTGAGCGAGCGCTGTGCATGCAGGCTGAGGAGAAGCACGAGCCCCCAGCCGGGATGTGACCCTCAGGCCACGCTCCCTGGTCCCCAGGCAAAGTTCATCAGCGGGTCGAGCTCTCCCAGGTGCAGAACTTTGGGTGCATGGAGTAGATTTCGTCCCTGGGCTTGCTTTCCTAGCTTCCTTTCTTGCTCTCAGTTTCTCAGAAAAAAGATTGTACTGCCCCCTGGCAGCGCGCTCTTTGGCTCGACTCTAATCCCGTCCCCAACTGGAGATGCCTCCCAGAGAGTTTAGCCAGCCCGGGTGGGGTGGGCTGCATCTTCAGTGGCGCTCTCACCTGCTCTGGCTCGTGCCCCGCCGGGAATGCCCCGGGGACAGTCGTTCCTCTACCTTTATAGCGCTCGTGCGCAGAAGGCAGTGAGACGTTTTATTTATGAAGCAACAGAGGCACCTTAGTCGATAAGAGGGACACACAAGCAGCTATCTAACCCCACCTCCCTACCTGTCCTATCCGGAAGGAAGACTTACCCCTCCCGCAAGCTTTCCTTTTCCCCGAACGAGGAAGGCTGTGAATTTTACTGGCTGTCTGGCAGGGGCCACCCAGATCCTCCCAATTACTAATGCGGGATCCAGGTCAGGGGCGGGACAGGCCCTGGGGAAATTTGTTACAGGCGAGCAGAACCTGGCGTGGAAGGAGAGGTCATTGATCGCCAGTAGATTTGACCTTGACCCCTTGGTTGTGTGAATCAGGAAACTCTGCAGTCTGACACAAGGCTCTCATACCAGGTGGAGAGGCGAAAGCAGCAGCGACCAGGGTGTTTAATAAGACTTTAGATTTCTAAAAAGCCTTTCTTTAGTAGCTTCTGGTTGGTGGTTATACAGAGTTCATTCATTCATAAAATTCAGATACTTAGTGTATTCATTCTCTCTCTCTCTCTCTCTCCTCTCCTCTCCTTCCCCCACATACAAGGTTCCCTTTCTTAACTAATAAGTTCTTCTCATCCATCTGGACAATTATGGGGGGAACAAACTGGACTAGACAGGAATCAAAACTAGAAGGAACTGAGGGGAAGTCTAATCTATCCAACTCATCCCTGTTGTGTCTCCTGCTGGGATGAATCTTGCAAAAACTGACTAATACAGGTGAATATGAAGGAACGGAGAGTTTGGTAAACAGTAAGGTTCTTGCTTGATTATTAGTGTTTTGATAAATGCCAAAATGCTTCAAAATATGGACTTCTGGACACCAGCCTTCCATGCCATTCAGCTGGAAAATACAAACCATAATTTAAAAAAATACAAACCATGACAATTCTACAAGTTCCAAGAAATGGCTTCTCTCAGGAGAAACCTCTGCAAATTCCCTGAATTGTACTTGACTGAGTGTGGACATGTTTGTGTTTCTGAGAAACACTTAACAGCTAACACTTGATCTTCAAAAATGTATCTATCCCAAACAAGACTATTAAGAAGGGACTTAAACACAAAATCTAGATGAACTTTAGAATTCTTATCTACCTGCAGAGAAGGGTTTTTTATAAACAATACATACCAAAGGGTCTTAACTAAGGACTGTTTTGCTCCCAGGGGACATTTAGCAATATCTAGAGCAAGTTTGGGTTGTCTTGACAGGGGGATGGCATGGTAAACTAGTGGACAAAGGCCAGGCTGCTACTTAATATCCTCTGATAAAGATTGCAGTCCCTGTGACGCTCTGTATGTTATTCAACATGTACATTTATTAATAAATTACAGTGTACACTACACAAATGCCTCTCTCCCCATATATGTTGTGCGCATGCATTTTCCATAAGTAGCACATCATTGTAGGATGTGTAACAACCACACTAAATAGAGACAAGTATTTTTTTTAAAGTAGTTTCTTCCCTTTCTATACACCCTCACACATAACTTCAGTTAAAAAGCATTACATCCTCCATGAACATTCTTGTGCTCTCAGTCAGATTTAGTCCCGTCCCCTTTCTGGATTCTGTTGGCACTTTATCTCCCATCTGACCCTCTCTTAAGATGCCTTTTACTATCTAACTTGGGATTATAATTTTATTTACATGCAAATTTTACCTCTCTTCCTAGACAAAAACTTCTGGAGGACAAGCTCTATGTTTCCCTCCTACCATTTCTAAACTCTATGTTTTCTAGGCAGCTCTATCTATAGCTTAAACATATTTTATTTAAAAAATAAAAATTACATTACATATTGGTCTACAACTTCTTTTTTTAAAGTCATTTATATAAAAAATATCTTTCCAGGTGAATACAAACAAATTTGTCTTCACTTTGTAAATGGCTGTCTAGGATTTCCTACTACCAACCACATTTTTAGTTCCATGGAAACTCACCTTGACAATTCTTTTTTTTTTTTTAAGATTTATTTCATTTATTAGCATACAAGAACTGGGGTATTGAGGTGCAGGGACCACGAGGTTTCATGAGAGACAAAGTGGGGAGCAGAACAGATGAATCTACTGAAATACACTGCTGAAGGGAGCAGCATTGGAGATAGGAGAGGTCTGCTGCGCCATCTGTGCATTAGCTACCTGGTCAGGCATGGAACTCATGCCACAGTGGCTGGTGATAGCTTGATAGTGCTGAGACTTTAACCCCTGCACCACCAGGGATGCACCCAATTCAAGAGTTCTTTATTGACACATTTTTTATTAAGCAATTAACAGTTCTTTATTAATTTGGAGGCATTCTGTGTCAATATCAATATAACCCATACCCGCCTCTGACAAAGATTTCCACTACTTGTTATTTGTTATTTGGAACACTTAGTCTGGTCCAGTCAACTCTGCAGGTCACTTTGTATCAGAACTCAGTGATGGTTTGGTTGGTGGTAGTGATTCAAAGAAATGAGAATGGGGTAGATATGTCAGAAGCACAGAGGACAAAATAAACCATCAAATAGGAGGCAAGGGTGCGACTTCCTCGGAGAAGAGACAGAATTCTTCTTTGAACTGCAAATTCTTTCTATGTAAGAACTAATTTAATAATCATTACACTGTAATAAGCCTTGCGTGTATCTGGATGAAGATACTGCTTTTTCTGTTAATGTCTTTTCAAAATAAGAAATAAATGGTGCATGAGCAGAATGACATCATCTTTACAGGTTTGGGTTTTTTTTTTAAGGTTTATTTTTATTTATTTATGCATATAAGACTGGGGTGTAGGCCAGAGGTGTGGGGGGAATGAGAGGATTCACCAGAGACAGATTGGGGAGCACCAGGGGCAGGTTGACTGAAATACACTGCTGAGGGGAGCAGTGGGGAAACAGGAGATATCTGCTGTGCCATGTGGGTCAGCTCCGTGGCCTGAGATAGAACCTGAAGTGACCGGAAATAGCTTGATAGTGCTGAGACTTTAGCCCCTGAGTCACCATGGAGGCCCCTCCTTTACAGGTTTTTATAAAAGTATAAAACTTCTTTTCTCATAGGTCTGAGTTTGGCTGTCTTTTAAAAACATGAGAGTAGGAGGTGACAACAGCTTGCTCTCCCCATCCAATTTACTTGTTATATTAAACACTTCAAATTACTCACTTAGAAATTATAAATCAAGCTTCAAATCCACCTGTTTAACTTAGAAGTGGGTGGTTCTCATTTATCAGTATTTAATGGTTTCCAGGACTTCTAGCCAAAAAGGTAGTTGCATCACTTATAAATGTCAGACAATATTATTACTTTCCACCACTAATTTTTGCAGTTAATGCAAAATTTCTCATTTTCTTATTTATTATTTAGGCATTTGGAATGTAAGACAAATTTCACTGTTAAATATACACATCACTCATTCACTTAAGGATTTGTTTTTACTGCACCCCTGAAGTTAATACAATGTTATGTGTCAATTATACTTCAATAAAAATACAATTCTGACTTTTAAAATTATTTATTTAAATTGTATTAATGCTGGTCATGTACATAATGGTAAATAAAAGAAGCATGAACTCTGGCCTCATACCTGTGGGTGCAACAGACATTCATCAAAGGATCACAAAATGGGCCTCCCTGGTGATACAGGGGTTGAAGTCAGGGCTGTCAAGTAATTGGTGGTCACTGCAGCATGAGTTCGATCCCTAGCCAGGGAGATAACCTAGATGGCACAGGAGACTTCTCCTGTCTTGCCCTCTGCTCCCCTCAGCGGTGTATTTCAGTAGATCTGCCTCTTCTGCTCCCCACTCTGTCTCTGGTGAATCCTCTCACCCCCTCACCTCTGGCCTATACTCCAGTTCTTGTATGCATAAATAAATAAATCTTCAAAAAAATCACAAAATGTATGTCCTGTTTCACTGATTCTAAAATGCACATTTTCCATATTTTAACAGGCTACATCTTAAAATTAACTGTTATTACACTTTAGTTCAATTGGCATTATGTTTTAGTTTATTAGTGATTCATAAAGTAATTGTGAGTTTTCCTATTAATGGCAGGTTAGAATTGATGAAATATGGAGATATATTATATAAATTCATAAGTTTCTGAGTGATGCTGTGAGTTACAAGAATGGTTTAACTGAATTGTATGTTACTTCAAACAAAGCACAGTCAGTTTTTGTTACTTTTTTTCTAGTCTAGAGGGCACATTTTGCTCTTTTTTTTTCCAATTTGAAAATTTCTCTAATCAGAGGAATTGAAAAATTATGGACATACATAAATAATGCCCCCAAAATTGTGTTTTCAAAACAACCTTTATTATTTTCTACCTTTGAATTACAAAGTTTATAGTGTATTTGTTATTTTTTGTG